CAATCAAATAAAAATTTGTATCCAGTGACTTCATCATCATCACCAGATTTTAGCTGCATAGATATCAAGCCTCAATGCTCACCTATCCTCAGTGATCACGTCTACTCATCTGATGCACTCAGGAGTTTCTTTGGCGTGTGTAGAGTGTTCGGTGAAGCAATCACTTACAACATTCAGAATAACATGCACTAGGCTTTCTTGATTGTGAGGACATTTCATGAGACGCCAGAAATCATGTATAATCTCTTTAGCTGTCGATCACTTCCTAAATTTTAGTTGATACTCTAAGATTGTAGTGACCCGTTTTATTACTCATAATCGTACTATACTTTCATTGTGTAATTGTACTTTCATTTATTTATTACTCTAAATCTTGCATGTTAACAATTGATACTTCTGTACTCGCTCGATTTTTGAATTGTTGATTGCTGCAATAATACACTATCGTATTCCTTCGCAAGTGCCTTTTGAATTACGTTGCGGATGTCGAGTAATCGCAACGTTAGGTCAGAATTATAAACGCGAAGAAATACTAGAATTACGTGTATGCGAGTTTAATCAAAATTCAGCAGCAACAAGATAGTCAAAAATCCAATGACTATTTGTTCTTCTTTACACGTTCCACAAAGCCGTCTAACTTAGTCGTTTGTCTTATAGACTTCCTTCATAACGATTTTTTGGATTTTCTGTCTATCATAATAGAGACGTGATGAAGTGTGGCAAATTTAGCCACTTCATGTTTTTGCAAAGTTCAGTTTCTTTTGCATAGCGCCTTCTATACAAACTTTACTACCCTTTGATTTCTGACTAGTGATATATTCATTTATTCGCCATTTGTAAGGCTTTTACTGTGTTATTTTTGTTTCATTTGTTGCATCCTATGTATCTGTACGCATTTTCTGGTTGTTTACCTTTCTGACACGGTCTTCAGTACAGGTCCCCTATTTGGGGTCTTCGGGATGCTTAGAACGGATGGCTGAAGATTAATGCGAATATGGCTGAAAATCGTTCTCAACGGTGCAGACGTATTCACTCTTTGTGATCTTCCATATCCATTAAGCCCTACTGTTTTTCCATATTATTATTCCTTTCCCCTCAATGTTCCTCTCATTGTAGTCTTTTTGAATCCCTTTTATTTTCCATTTTTCTGCCTTTGTGTGCTACGTGGAGTGTTACAACTAGAACTGCTACACTTTTATGCAAAGTTCTATGTCGAAACTCAGTCATTTCTATGTCGTATTCTTCATCACATATTAGGTTGAATTTAGGTCTTTGTCAGTTGGCCGCAGATTGGCTTATTGATCTTATTTCCTTCTGTGCTTCCGAATTCCACATCTTGAAAGTCATAATCCTGTCCATAGACATTCACTTAATCTAAAAAGATACCTAGTCACAGTCATATAAAGACTGGTGTTTTCTAATGCGGAGACCAACTACCTGCTGTTTGTTGCAGTTACTACAGTTTATTGTGTAAATTATATTCAGCTTCTCTACTGTCATTGCATCATTTGGGCAGCGCAGTGTGGAGTAAAAATATTTTGTAGGCTTCTGAGTTGTGGTGATTTCGAAGCGCATACTAGTAAAGATGTAGTATCCTCAACGCTCTTCATACACGAGGAAAGTTAGGCTTTAAGCGAATCGAACGATTTTTCGACCCAACGTGAACAGCTGGTTTTTTAGAAAGATTTCATTAGTTCCCGTTATCTCTTCGAAGCATCAGACCACGTGCTGTTGGTTTTGCTATTTTTTAATTGTTCCTATACTACTAGTTATTTCAAATAGTACAATTTTTCCACGCCAGAGTTTCCACTTGTCCTCAACATATTCTCGATAAAAAAGTGAATTTTTGTTCCTATATACATCACCATGTGAATTTATTCATTTGAAAAATGTCAGTTTTAGGTAGATAATTCTCGCTGTGTTCCCGTTATATATCTGTATATTGAACTTTTGCACAGCAGCTTGCTGTTCCGAAGATATTCTTCACATCGATTCGTACAATAAATCGTACAACATAAATTCATACACTTGTTTTCTGAAATATTTCACCGGTAAAGAAATCATAATATCCATCCTAGATTTAGTCGATATCTCGTGCCCAAAGTTGCCTCTTTTAAGCTTACCAATTAGGAGTTGGCTTTTCGCGCATGTCTCATAAGTGGATAAAGTTGTCGTATCCGTCATGGAACGAACGGAGAATGCTTTTTCTTCGAGGTAAATATTTAATGATTCCAGTTATATAATAAAACAGTGATCTTAACAACGCATGTTGGGAAAAACTTACGGAGTATTCTTAGTGAACTCAATCGCAGACACGTACTGTTTATGATATTTCGAAAAAAACAGTGCATTGTGTGCTAACTTCAACAGATTTTATTGTATCTGATGTATTTCTCATGATTCCTCTGTTTACTACTATCAGGGAAAATGGGAGGTCCCACTACCAAAGGTCAGAAGTGTGTCTGAAACCGAGGCATTTAAAGTTGTACGAACTAGAAAGTCAAAACGTAAAGCTTGGAAACGTCTAGTTACAAAAATGTGCTTTGTGGGAGATACATTCACAAGAAAACCTCCAAAGTTCGAACGTTTTATCCGTCCAATGGGTTTACGTGTGAAGAAGGCCAATGTTACTCATCCCGAACTGAAAACCACTTTTCAACTACCAATAATAGGTGTCAAGAAAAACCCAAGTTCTCCTATGTATACTACACTTGGCGTTATAACCAAAGGCACAGTCATTGAGGTTTGTTTGTCTGATATATTTGAATTTGTCTAGTCTACCGTATCATTTTATACTGAATCATCTTTTTCATGTTCCCTGAATTTGGCTGATGATTAAAATTACTTTGCGTTTAATTCACGATTAAGACACAACTATAGTCTTGTCAGTATTTCTCTTTCTGCTGAAATCTGGAGTTATCATTTACTACACAGAAAATCTTTGAACCCAAGGTGCTAACTACAAGTCAGTTATTTTTACATGACACTAGTAATGAGCTAGAAAAATAAACTGAAGTATACCTCACCTTATGAATTTTATATGTCACGCATTTTCTATAAACTAGTATCTCAGTAAGTGTCTGACAATGCCCTCACCTTTCGTGACAATAACTGCTTAATAGTCAAGCCTCTATAGGACCGAATTGACAGTCATAACGAAATGCTATCTCCCTAAGTGACTACACTAGGCTTTCTAGTTTCTTGTAATTGTTTTTTAGAATTAGGTAGTTAGTTAGTTCGAACCCAGTCATCTGAAACGGATTTTTCATGTACCACAATATTAGCCACATCCATTGTAGGAGGACTGATGGTGCCACTCATTTGGTCTGGCTAAAGTATGTAGAACAGGATTTAAACCTAGAATTTATTGAATAAAAGTTGAGTGCCTACGTCAGTCAACCGCATCTCAGGGTACTCGTTTTTTATTGATACCAGCTGTCATCGTACAGCAAAAAGGGGACTTAACGGTTGTAAAAATTGTGTCAACAAAAGGTACACAGCGTTAGTGCTAACTGGTATTTTTAGAGTAACATACATAAGACATAACTACATTCTCGAAGTGCTGTTGCTATTAAATGTCGTTAAATATGATTTTTGTAACTATTTCTTTTTGCAATACAGGTGAATGTCAGTGATTTGGGTTTAGTTACACCAGGTGGCAAAGTTGTATGGGGTAAATATGCTCAAGTAACAAATAATCCTGAAAATGAAGGTTGTGTAAATGCTGTTCTTATTGTATAAATAAAAACTGATTTATTCCTATGTTTTGATTTCTTTTATGTATTCAGATGCTCCACGGTCTATTTTGATGTTTTGTAATCCAATGCGATGTCGCTTAGTTTTAAGAAGGAGGTTTCATAATAGGTCATATTTGGCTTCTCACTTAGAGTTTGAAGTAACAAGCAAGTCAGTTGTTTGGATCATAGATGTTAACCGCTTGTAATAGTATCTGTTATTCATGCTACTCTACAATCGGTAACCAAAGACAACCAGATCAACATACAGTGCTACTATATAAATTTTATGTAAGGTTCCGATATAAAGAGTAGATCCTAGTTACTATCCTTCAGTGCGTTACAATTCCGTACTCGAAGTTTCAAAGGTTAACCGACGGAGTGACCCATAACACTATGAAGCACTGGTCTGAATGCAATCACCAGTGACCATTTCCCCATTATTTCACTAGCATTTTACTAAACCTGGGAATGAATTAACAGTCTCGAGCATGTTATACTTAATTCTTTTAGCTACTTTCGGACATGATTAAGGTTGATTCTCCACTTCACTCTTTGGCAGAGACGGAAGAAATGTCAGTATGTTCACCACCGATTACGATTCTCGGTTATATTTGATAACTTCTTGACGCATTGATCTAAAATACCTCTCAGGGTGATTCCGTAGATTCGTGACGCACCAACATGTGTTAACCTGACACAAATATCCTTCAACTATTTGTTCTTGTGAACATCTTTGTACACTCCCCATTCAATCACGAAATCACTGAAGGCGCATAAGTCTGCAAATAGAAATCCGTTCTCATTCATTTTAATGAGCACTTTTCAACTCATGATGAGCTAACTTCTTGTGCTGTCTGCATCCAGTTTGGATGGCATTCATATCACCCATTAGAATTTTGATGTCGTATTTGGGCAGAAACTCCATCTAGTTAACTAGCTTGCTAGTTTTCTAGCCAGTCCCAAAGGCCGGGTAAACAGGGAGGGTTGGGTGTAGGGCTAGCGACCCACCCTATACCACAAAACAAATCAAAGTGTTACAGAAACTTCAACGCACAAATATATTAAATAATAAATATATTAAAAACAAAAATTCAAATGACGATCATGTTCTTCGCTGGAGCCGGAGACGCGAAATGACACAGCGGGCTACCGAAAGCCTTCAGGAGACCAGTCAGTCAGCAGATTTTTCTTTTGTCGATTAAAGCAAGAGTAAGAATGAGGACAGTAGGGCGGAGGGCTGTAGATTGGTGCAGTGATCCTTAGGTCGGTGGTTCGTATCCGCCTCGCCATAGCTAGTGTTAAGGGTCGTAGAGGTGGCGGGGTCGCTCTGTACATCAACAACTCCCTACATGTTCGTTCCGTGAAATCTGAAGCGCATGACAGTGGTACAAGTGAGGTAATTAGCTGTGAAGTAAGCTTTGCAACTGGCACTCTACTCATTGGAGTTCTGTATAGAAGTCCCTATTGTCAGTGTGTTGACTTTATTTTAGATCACCTCAAACAATGGAGTAAACACAGTAGCTGTCTTATTCTAGGTGATTTTAATACACCTCATATAGACTGGTTAGATGTCACATCTTCAGGATCCACTAATAAGTTTGACAGCCGGTTACTCTTGACTACCATGGAAAATGCCCTGACACAACATGTCTTAGGTAGTACAAGATTCGGTTCTACCCAAGGATCTTCCTTGCTGGACTTAGTGCTTACTCATGACAACGACGACGTGGATGGTCTAGTTATTCATCCACCTCTAGCAAACAGTGATCATGGGGTGTTAGATTTTAACTTAAGGGCTGGCTCTCTAGTCAGTTTTCAACCCAAATCCCGACCTAGTGTTTGGCATGCTGACATAGTCGCTATAAAGGAGCGTGCTTCAACTGCCGACTGGTCAGTCGATGTGGTCTCATCCATTGAAGATGAATGGGATATATTTAAGAATACACTTGAGAGGGTTACCACTGATTTCATTCCCTGGAGGGTTCCTAAAAGGCCAACAAATTGGCCACCATGGATAAATAGACAAGCTATAACACTCCTAAGACGGAGAAAAAGGTTCTGGAATCTCTTTGTTTCTACTGGGCTACAGCAGTTCCGGCTGAAATACTGTGAAACCAGAAACCAGTGTAAAACTTTGATCCACCAGTCAAGGATAGCTTACGAAACCCAGTTAGTTAAAAGTTCACCAGGCTGCCCAAAAAGACTCTTCTCATATATCAAGAGAAGAACACGTAAGAGTGATGCTATCCCACCTCTTATGCTTGAAGATGACCAGACAAACATGGCTGAGGATAACTTGACTAAGGCTGAGGCTTTGTCCAAGCACTTTAGTCAGGTATTCTCTGATAATATTGATACCAGCTTTGCAACTTTTCCAGAAGGTAACTTGAAAATGGCACCCTTATACATTGGAAAGGATACTGTCCTTAAGTGGCTTCTAAGGCTCAATCCTGGTAAGTCCAGTGGCCCTGATGAACTCCACCCACGTATATTAACAGCATTGGCTGAAAACATAGCCGAGCCGAGCCATTGTCGGTAATCCTCAATATGTCTCTGGACCAGTCTAAATGTCCAAGAGACTGGAAAGATGCCATCATTAGTCCGGTCTTCAAAACCGGATCTAGAAACTAAGTTCAGAACTATCGTCCTGTTAGTTTGACCAATATTGTTGTTAAACTACTAGATAGAATAATTCGTGATGCTATCATTCAGTTCATTGAAGGGAACAAACTTTTCGCTGTGGAACAGCATGGTTTTAGAGCAGGTCATTCTTGCTTGACCGACCTTCTTTTGGCCAGAGAAAGTTGGGCAAGCTCAGCTGATGCTAATATACCGGTGGATGCCATATTCATCGACCTTAGCAAGGCGTTTGACAGGGTTTCTCATTCAGGTCTTCTAGTAAAGTTAGGTAGTCTGGGAATCAATAAAGTGGTTGCCGACTAGATTCAAGACTTTCTAAAGGACAGAAGACAAAGAGTACGAGTTAACGGACATTTATCAACATGATGTTGACGGGTGGGAATGTAGAGGAGGGGGAGGAGGTGGGGAAGGAGAAGGAGGAGGCAGCGGAGGCAGAGCAGGAGTATTAACTGAACTTATTCCATGATGATTAGCTGTTGTTGTCTTGGACATTTTCTCCACTAATTTATAATGAGACATGCATACAATCTAAGAAAGGGGGAGGGGAGAAAAGAAAAAAAGACACCCAAAGAAGAAATAAATGATAGCAATAGAAAAAAAAACACGTAATCAATAATCAAGATAAAAATTACAAATTTAACTAACGAGAGGTGATGAAAGGAGCCATATGAGAGACAGCAGGAGTTAAACAAGATTACTTGTCTACTCTCATCGATAATGTTCCTAATTGTTGTGGACTAGATTACACGGAATACCATGGTGTGGGAAGTGAGGAGACAGGAATAGGCTGCACGACTGATAAAATGACTCTAGAAGATCTGGATATTGCATGTGTGGATGATTTAATGTCTAATGTCATACACACTCGAAGACTTAGAGGCAGGCGAAAACCCACAGACTGGCTGAAGAAGCTGGCAACGAAGGTAGGACACTCCAGGTGAACATAGAGATGACGGAGATGATGAAGATAACGAATCAATCAACAGCGACAGCAACCAGCACTAATCACCATCAACGGGAGGAATTTGGAAGAAGTCACTTCCTTCATTTATCTGGGAAGCGTCCTCTCAACCACATTAGGGCACTGAAGATGTCGAGGTCAGAATTGGAAAGGCGAGGTAAACCTTCGTCCACCTTAAATCGTTTTGAAAGTCTTCTGCACTCCGCGGCATAAACAACAGGATTCGGATTCTGTTCAACACAAATGTTGAGTCCATCACTGCTTCTACATGTATCAGAAATTTGGCGCCCGTATCACGAAAAGCATTTCCAACAGTCGGTTGGAGACTTTTATCAACAGCTTCCCGCTTTTCGTGGTTTCATGCTTAAAATCAGATGGCGGGTTGGAAAGAATTACCAACAAGATACACTGGATGGGAACAAACCAACGAAGAGTCTATTACTAAACAAATATGTGGAAGAAAATCACGATGGATCGGGCATACGCTGAGGAGGCCGTCAAACGACATTGCACGCCAAGCCCTCGAGTTGAACTCAAACGGGTAAAGACGAGTGGGTCATCAGTGCGAGGGTGACATGGAAGCGACCGTGTGCCGAGAAGGAGATGAGAGATTATGGGTTAAGCGTTCTTCAATCATCCCCCCCCTTAAGTCATAGAGTGTGCTCTGTACTGAAGAGTCCCTACGATTAGGACGAAACAACTACGCAGTATCTCCTATAGTTCCATTGATCATTTATTTGATTGATGTCATTTTCGTGATCCTGCTTGAAACTAACGATTCATATTCATATGATATAAGGAGTACTATACAACAGACGAAATTATACAAATATCAAAACTACTACTCTAGTGCAGAGAGACTAAGCGAAAAGATTGTTCTAGAATCTATGAACTGAGGTTAGGCGTCGAGTGCTAGGTAAGGAGGGAAAATCAATAGACGAGGATGTGAAGTTACATCGAATGAGATGGTTACGACTTGTGTTACGTATGCCTATTCATCGCCTTCCTCGACAACAGGCAATGTTAGCTGACATAGGGTCAGGGTGGGAAAGAGCCAGTGGTGGTTAAACCAAAACATGGCTTCACTAGTCAATGAAATCCACAACAGTTAGTTTAAGCCAGCCAGCCAGCCACATAGGGAGGTGTAAACTTCCTGACGTGTCGGGGTCCTCGAGATGATGGTAAAAACCAATGGTTCGAAACAATTGGTAATATAGCTGAAAATCCTTGTTCTCAATAGCTGGCGAAGATGCATCCACTCCTTGTGACTTACGATTTCAAATGAAACTATATTGTTCTTCGTTATTACTATTCCTTTGTCTCACACCTCTGTTTACTGTCTCTAATATGCATTTCTCCTACTTTCTTCTCTTGCTTTGTGTACTACATGGAGTGAGCGTGGCGACTTGAACTGCCGCTCATCGGTGCAAAGTTCTACGTAGAAAACAGACAGAATTTATGAATACTATATATATTGACAAAATAAACTTACTCGTGCAAGAAGGACATTTTCAGCAGAAGAGTTGCTATTATTATTAGATCGATTGTTACTTGTTCTAGATTTACGTTTCGGTATGATTGGTGGTAGTACAATAATACTGCCTTCAACATGCGCTAAACAAAATGAAGATGGACATATGGAACAGAAGACATGCGAAGGACGACCACATGCATCACAATGATGCCAGGGACAAAACCATCGACCTTAGAAAAAGAATGAAATAAATAAAAATTAATAAAAGTATGACGGTACATTGATATTCTAATTCTAAATATAATCATTACTCGGATAAGAAAGGCTTGTGTGACGTTGGTCAAATCGCATCATCTCTGGAGTAGACGACTGGCTATCGATTAAAGCACGAGTGTGTCGCGCAGAAGCAGTTTGCTCCATCCTCCTCCTTTATGGTCTTGAATGAGACATGGCCATTGAAAGTCGAAAAACATGAAAAGACTAGCTAGCTGTTTTCGATCATAGGTGTCTACTTTCTATCTTTCGCGTTTGGTGGTATAATATGGCGAGAAATATTGAGGTTAGGTTTTGGTCAAATGCTAGATAAGGCGGGTAAATCAATGGACGAGATTGTGAAGTCACATCGATTGAGATGGTTACGATATATGTCACGCATGTCTAGTCTAGTCATCACCTTCCTCGACGGTCAATGTTATCCGCTGACATAGGATCGAGCAAACCAAAGAGTGGATTCAGTCCATGAAAACATTGATAGTTAGTCTGAGGCAGCCATGTAGGGAGATATAGACTACCTGGGTTGGGACCTTGGGATTCTAGAAACAAAGGACTTGAGAATATTAGTGATATGACTCTAAATCGTTCTCAGTGACGCAGATATATTCATTCTTTGCGATCTGGCATACTCATTAGACACTACCGTTTTTCTATGTTACTTTTCTATCTTTCTCACATTTCTGTTTATTGTCATTCTTTCGAATCTTTTCCTTCCTTTGTCCGCTACATAGAGTGTGGCAAGTTGAGCTGTTGAACTTGTGTGAAAAGTTCTATGTTGGAACCTCCATCCCTCCACACGCACACAAACCCTCCTTGTTGTAGCACACAAAGCAAGAGAAGACAGTTAACAGATACTCAAATGCGACAGAGATAATAAACACAACTGTAAGTGAGGGAAAAAGAATAGTCGTTATATGGAGGAACAATAGATTTTTATTGGATATGACGATTCACAAAAAGAGTGAATACATCTGAACCAGCCATTGAGAACGACGATTTTGTCTCCAGCCGCCATTGGTTCTTATCATACCGGGGACCTAACCAGTCAGGAAGTCTACACCTCCCCTACATGGCTGGCTGGCTTAAACTAACAGTTGTAGATTTCATTGACTTATAAAGTCATGTTTTGGTTTGACCACCATTAGCTCTTTTCAAACCTGATCGATCCTATGTCAGCTAATATTTCCTGTTGTCGAGGAAGGCGGTGGATGGGCATGTTGAAACCAATCAATCAGTCAGATATGTATTACTACTGATTCCCAAGGACTGCTTGGTGGTCTAATCTGCTTGCTTTACGTTAAATTCTTTAGCATGGATATTTCACTCGGCATATCCCCCAACTTCCAGTCGTTTCAATACCTTGTGATTTACAAAAAAATGTATAAACTATACGCTCATTCATGAATAAAGACTGGGATAAGTATGATCGTTGCGTAATAATAGTCTTTGGATAACTCCCTCGTGATTTCATGTTACTTGACCTGTGTTCGGTGTACGATTGTGTTCAAGACTCAGCATGGGTTATAAGCCAAATTATACACATACAAGCACTTTACTCTCTCATGGCGCTTTCAGCACCCGGATGGCCATATTAACGCCTTCACATAAGTGAAGTAACATACACGCGATTATCTGGAAACACAATATTTGTCATTGATCTTCTTAATCATAATATACAGCTGACAACAAGTTATGATATGACCTGATCTCTAAAAAATATTGTTGAGTAAATTATGATTCTAACTTATAACCGCATAATAAAGGTTAGTTGTATAAATGGAATGGTTTGCGACGAGTCAATGATTCAACGGTAGAACAATCCCCAGCCAGTGCACTCCTAAACCTGTCTAAGTCGGTAAAGAAGGCAGCTTAGGCGTCAGATTAGCAATCACCTCACACCGTAAAAGCAAGCACCACTGCTATCGAAACTTTAAAACTCTAGCTTGAAGCATTGTATGTTCCACTTGGAAAGTAAAAGAATACAAAAAAATGAGTCAATGAGTCATAGCTTTTGGAGACAAAGTATCTTATTATCTGGTAATCATCAATACTATTGATTTTTCCTATATCTATGTGACAATGACTAGTCAGATACAAGTTATATACTCGTTTGAGGAATATGTATAAAATAACTACAACATTGTGAGTTTATGTCCTAACATGATTATGACTAAACTGTCTAATTTTCTAGTATTGGTTTTGTAGAGATTTTGTTTGATTGCATGGAGTAGTTCACCATGAGCTGACATCAGTCAGAGAAGCACTGGAAAACCTGGATAGCTGTTTCGTCCTAGTTTGCGACTCTTCACCAGTACGCACCCACCTACCGGAGTTCAAAACCAGGACCTTCTGGTTACAAGGCGAGTTAACTCGTAGACCATCAGGCCACTGTGACCCGATCGAATGGCCAGATCATGAATTCTAACACTCTGCCGATTCACAACATAGCGCGACCATTTCACAATGTCTTCTTCGATGAATTACTGCCTCATCACCTTCAACCTGCTGTATGAACCCTACTGGTCACGACTTCCCACTAGAACCCCAGGTAACAGCCTACCTGAATAGGGCTAGTCGTTAGTGAATATCAGAGTAAGTAATTTTAAATTACGAGGAGTACAACGATGGTAGAATCAGTGCTCGAAGGAGTGAGTTCAACCCCCCCCCACCGCGCCCCCTGACCAACACACATCTCTCTAAACCTCACCGCTTCATTTTCCTACTCTAACCAGTAAGTAATAAACTCGGAAAAAAGAGAGAGAAGGTTCAGAGTCATGAAAACATAACCGCTACTACTGCATAGATGGGTGAGAGTGGTGATCTGAATAATTTGGTTTCCGAAGGAGAATGTGGTCCCTAGCACACACACAAACAGCGACAGACAGATAGACAAAGATTGAATTAATCATTCTGATTCATTAAAATACCACGAGAAAACTTACCACTAACAGGCGGTGCATCTAAATCTAAACAGAATAAATGATACACTTTTGGACAATCAGATTTGCTGCACATAATTAAATCGGATGATGATGGTGATGATTTTTTCAATTTCTGTTTATCATCACCATCACGACCATCATCGTCGTTGTCGGCATCATTCTCATCATCATGATCTTCTGCTTTGATTGTTTTCATCATATTAGAAGATTTCAAAGAGGAACCAGCACTAAGTCGAGATTGCTTGTGTTTAATTGGTGACTGGTGATGAATCACAGCTGCAACAATTCTTTTTAATTCACGCTTGAGTCCACGTTTATTTGATGAGGAAATAGTATTTGTAGGCATAGTAGTAGTAATTGAAGGATATATTGAATTTGATAATTCACAAGATTGTAAGGAACGATTGCCAACAGGAGCTTCTACTTTACCACATCTGAAAAACAATAATGTAGATATACATATAAATTGATTACTTTCAGAAAGACAAATCTTCGTATCTTTTTCTCTTCATTATAAGTCGACAAACAGGATTTCATAATGAAAACCATTGAAAAAAAGTGGAAATAGGGGAGAGCAAGCTGTTTTGTCCTAGTTTGAGAATCGTCAGTAGTATGTATCCCCACCGGGGTTCAAAATTACGACTTACCGGTTGCATGGTGACGAGCTCGTAGACCATTAAGCCATTTGGACGCGATCCAGTGGCCAACCCATGAATTCCAACTTCTGCCGATTCATGATACGTGGTCGCGCTATGTCATGAATTCATGCGCTAGCCATTGGATCAGATCCAGGTGGCTTAATGGTCTACGAGCTCACCTTATGAACTGTAAGTTCTGGGTTCGAACCCCGATGAGTACGTTCTACTGAAGATTCCCAAACCAGGACAAAATAACTGTCCAGTATTCACAGCTGGTTATCCAACAATTCTTTAACCAATGTCAGCTCGTGACGAAACCTATATCCTATCGAATCCCTTCGAACCAACACTTGAATGGAAGTCATTGAATTCCGAAAAGATGATTGAATGGTGGTCACCAGTAGCGTAATGCAGACAGGTGGATGATAGGAAGTGTTTAAAAATTGAAATTAACATTGTTTGAAGGATTTCATCATGAGCTGATATCAGTTAGAGAACCATTGGAAAACCAACTAGGGAGTACTAGACAGCTGTTTCGTCCTAGTTTAGGAAACTTTATCAGTACGCACCCACCGATAGGGTTCGAAACTAGGACCTGGTTACAAGGCATGCTTATAAACCACTGGGACCCGATCCAATGACCAGCCCATGTATTCTAACTTCTGCCAATTCATGACATAGCGCGACCACTTTGCAATGTCTTTTTCGATGAGTTACTGCCTCACCACCTTCAACCAGATGTACCCCACTGGTCACGACTTCCCACTAGAACCCCAGGTTAACTGCCTAAATAGGGCCAGTCGGTAGTGAGCATCAGATCCCTACAAAAACTAATACTTGAAATCAACATTGTAAGTTAATGGCTGGCTGCAGTAGAGGTAGAGGTGTTTATTTTCCTCAAATCTTGATTCACTTTACGTGTTGTGGACCTCACACTGAACAACCATGTTTACCCTTGAGTCAATTGCCAAACAATCAGAACTATTTATTTTTCTCTAACCTAGCTGAACTTTAATGTGGCTAGAAATGTATAAATCTTATGTGTGCTCTTCCTTAATAAAAAATAGTCCGTTACCAAGTCTCTTCTCAATTCCTGTTACACAGTGGGCGGTTCACCTCGATCCCTGATGAGGTCGTAAGTATCTCTTGCTACACGGTCCTAAACTAGGACAATAAAAACAGCTGGTTGTTCAGTGTACTTTGTGGTTTTCAATGAATAATTCACTCAGTGGTAACAACTCGTGACGGAATACCTTAATTTTGTGCACCTATTTTAAGCTATAGCATTTGATAACGTGTATATAGGCTAATGAGTCGAACGATGTCATCTCATATTCTAAACAAGAGAACGGAGATGAACCTAAACTATAAAATATCCCCAGAGCAACAACATCAGCGGTTGACTATCTCTGTTCGCTTTTCCAACCATTTCTAGGGGTAACAGACAGTGAATGATCGGGATACCGCTGAGATGATATTCGTAGAGCATATCAAGTTCTCCGATGCTCATGTACGAAGATGATGCTTCCAGAGATCAGTCAGGTTGACATCTAGTCTAATCTCCATTAGCATAAAAAAATTTACCTTCATCAAAGAAGAACGTTCTGACTACCACGTTCATGAGTTAAAGTTGTTAGATTTCCTCGACGTAAGACCCTTATACACCAATCTCATTATACTAATTTATGTTCCGCATAAAATGAACTAATGGGCATCACAACAATTTAGGAACAACTGGAGGAAAATAACTGAGTTCTTGAAAACAGAATGTCTTACCAAACCGCAAGTGCGGTTCACTCTAACAAAGAAATAGTCTAGTGTAAATGTTGAAGTGACATAACTCTCAATCAATATCATCAAAGTTGAATACCATTATAACTAACTCAATCAATAAATTATTAAAGGAGAAGAAAGTATTTCTAAATCTCAAAGAAACATGCACACAGTGACATTGAATGCGATAGGCAAAATTTAAAAAAAAATGATGATGATGAAAGGAATTCAAGGCTTAAAAATTACTTTAAGACAAAATAAAGCTAAATTCTACAAAAAACAAATGGATTTATTGATCATTGTCGTTTTTGTTTAAAGAAAGTGTAGAAATTTATGGCGCACTTTCAAAACTTACTGATTTCATTTAAATAATAACGATAAGAAGAGGAATAGTTAATGACAAAACCTAAAGCATGCATACTATTCAAAAACACATTTTTCCCCAGAAAACTTGAACATCATTCAAATATAGTCTGATAAGGCGAACAACGATCAACGACTTATCGATCACTAATCATCAAAATCAGAAGTGAAGTAATAACTCTGCATTGAATTGAGAATTGTAAAATTTACTGCCTAGTCTAACAGACTACTGCTGCAGACTTCTACCATCATTAGCAGCCGTCTTTGTTGTTCCAACAGTGAAAAGACCGTATGCTCTACCAGAAAGGATAAACCAGCTAGGGACTCAATAGGCAACGAATCAACCAACCAACCAAAAAACAAACAAACAAACAAACCTACCAACCAACAAATAGGTAGAAGAAAATACAGATGGATTGCATCAGCCCCAACAGGTTAATCTCTGACGAAATCTCAGCACGGATATAGAGGGCTAGTTTGGCATATGCCAGTTTACGCCGTCTCTGGCGTTGACGTGATATCCGACTATCGACCAAAGGGTGGGTGTACTGCTCAGCAGTCCGCTGCGTCCTCCTTTATGGCTATGAGACCTGGCTATTGAGAGTGGAAGACATGAAAAGCCTGGCTAGCTGGCTGTCTCTGATCATAGGCGCCTGCGTTCTATCTCCCGTGTGAAGTGGTATAATAAGGTGAGCAATATTGAGGTTAAGCTTCGTTCGAGTGCTAGGTAAGGAGGGGAAATCAATCGACGAGGCTGTGAAGTTACATCGACTGAGATGGTTAGGACATGCGTTACGTATGCCTGCCTAGTCATCGCCTTCCTCATCCGACGGGCAATGTTAGCTGACATAGGGTAAGGCTGGAAAAGAGCTGGCAGTGGTCAAACCAAAACATGGCTTCATCAGTCGATGAAATCCACAACAGTTATTTTGAGCCAGCCAGCCACGTAGGGAGATGTATACTTCCTGACCTGTTGGTGTCCTAGGGACAGTAAAAACCAATTGTAGGAAACAATTGGTGATATGGTTCAAAATCCTCGTTCTCGATTACAGTGCAGATGCATCCACTCCTTGTGACTTATAATACCCAATAAAACTCTATTGTTCTTCGTTATTACTATTCCTTTGTCTCACACCTCTTTTTACTGTCTATATTATGCATTTCTCCTACTTCCTTCTCTTGCTTTGTGTGCTACATGGAGGGTGTGTGGCGACTTGAACTGCCGCACATCGGTGCAAAGTTCTATGTCGAATACAGACAGATAGACAGACAGAGACACAGATGGATTGGATGCACTTTGAGAAAACCATTGAGTAACATCAGATATCAGACCTTCGACTGGCACCCGAATGGCAAACGATGAGTTGGCCATAGATCATGTGGTGAAAACGAAACGAAAGGATAAAGTCAATTGTAGAACCAGCTAAATAAAGATTGCAGAGGACAAGGTAAAAATGGCGCTGTTTTCCTGTAATTAAGGAAATAATAATTATAAATAAGTCTAACAAAGTACACCATAAAGTTAGATAATAACTGGCAGAAGTTGGAATTTATGCGCTGACCATGGGATCGGGTCTCAGTGGCTTAATGGTCTACGATCTCGCCTTGTAACCGTAAGGTGCTGGGTCCGAATTCCGATGGGTACATACCACTGAAGATTCCCAAACACCAGGGGGACGAAACAGCTGTCCAGTATTCCCAGCTGGTTTTCCAATAGTTCTCTAACCCAAGACATCTCATAATGAAATCCTATAAGCAATAACACAACTGTACAAAGCCAAATGTCAGAGAGACTGATACATTAAAACACAATGATATAGAACAAATCAAGTGCAAACTAACCGGAAACATTTCGTTTCAACACACTTGTCTTTACACGCTGAAGTATTCATTACACTTCCTGAACTATTTCTTCCACTTGCCATTGAATGATTTGACACGGTTGAAATGGAAGTTTTACTGGAAATTGAATCACGTCCATCATGATTTGTATGCACTTTTTCAGTACCACCTGCACGTGAGTTACCACTGCTACCGCCTTGTGAAGTATTTCGTCTAGATCCACGAATTGTATCTGCATTCACTGGAACAGTTGATGAACTGTTCGACTCAGAACAAGAGTTGGCAGATGTACCATTACTACTATTATTATTAGTAGTAGTAGGACCGACTTGTGCAATATTACCATTATTATTATTATTTGAGGACTCTGAACGTGCACCTAAAAATCCAACACAATTTGAAGCTCCACATCTACAATTTAGACGTTCTTGACCCAATGCAACAAAATTATAGTTGAAGGTTAACTCTTCACCAGCAGCGATATTTCTGATATAAGTTATATGAAATAAATAGGATAGACATAAGGATATAATAATAATGATAGTAATAATCATAGCAGTCTCATTCCAAACAGCAATTTTTGATACAATTATGGAATTTTCAGCATGTAGTATTGTGGTGAGACAAAATTGTAGACAACAATTAAAGTCAATGTTACATCCAGAATCGGGTTCATGAGAAAAAGCAATAACAGAGCTTAACCTTGAGGAACTCACCAACCAATCAATCAGCAGACTTAACGTGTGCAAATACCATTCACAGATATATGGCCTGACCATCTCAGAAACGGCCACAAAGAGATGACAGAATAACCTTCAGCAAGAAAACAACCAATCAGAAGACGTGACATCTCTGCTAACAATAACGCTAATAATGTACATAAAAATCTATAAATATCTCTTGATTTTCTCAATAAACGATCTGTTGCTTGGCCCTTGTCTTCTGTCGTTACAGTAGAATATGACATCGAATTTTCTCATTACAGGGGTTGTAATTAAGACAAGGGCATTTACACTTATAATCTTATTCAACAAGAATATGAATGTAAAGTTTAATTAGGTGAAAATATTCAAACAACAATGTAACAGTGGGGAAAAAGTGAGACCATTTATCTTAGAACTGCGCAGGAAGTTGGTAACCTCCTGTTTATACACTTTTTTCATCAAGTAAAATGCCTGCTAAATGAGGCTTCGTAGAGTTTTTGTTCTTAGCTATCCGAGCGCAAAGTGTTCTACATTTGTTTCTAGTTCCCCTAGCCGATAAAGATGCAATTGGGGAGAGTTGTGTATTATAAAGACGATGCTCATAGTCTAACAAGATAATATTTGCACATTTCTTGCAGTAGTCCATGTGTCTATCTACAACAGTGTTAACGAGTTGGCTTAGTAACACACCACTCACCCCAACTGACAGCTTTTAGTGTCCTTCGCAGTGTGACAAAGTCCTTCTTAAGAAGCCCAGGAGAGATTAAGGTGGTGGGGAGGGAAGGGGATAGACAGTAAAGAAGAACAAGTAGAATGAATACAAGAATTAACAAACTTTGGTTAGTTTAACTTCCTTACGTAGATATCCACCTGGAAACCAACATGATACGGGAAGAGCAGGAAAGGTGATCAGAGGATCCTCTTATAGATATGAAATTGGCATTAATATCCGTATCATTTACCATTAATAAACGTCTCTCTCTTTCTCTTATTACATTTTCTGTTTTTGAAATGAAGACATTTCAGAAACACTTTTATCAGTCCTGTTAGTATTCGACAAGGGTAAGTTTCAGGCAAAACATATTATGAGTTTTAATATTCAGGGTGTTCAGAAAAACCCTTCATTTTAAGGGGAGGAAATTACATTTGTACACTGTTTTGCACTAGTCGGTTAATCTATGAGAGACACCAGAATCGTCTAGAGCTCCATCCATCCATCACGAGCCCGAATAGCTCAGTGGTAACGTCTCTCTTTGACTGCATTACTTACTGGGTGACGAGGGTTCGAATCTCAGAAGGGATATGAGTTCCTTCAAGGTTGCTGACGAGTGCCAACTAGCACGAAACCTACATTTAGCCAAGGTTTTCTGTCGATTGCCTCCAAGCATCTTATATCATCGAATCAACGTGCACCCTGATGGCGAACTACCTACAATGTTGGGCCACATTGCAAACCTGACTGACAGAATTCAGTCTGCACCAAACCAAGAAAGAACGAGACATATCACACTGGTTACTAGTGTCCAATCAAAGCATCAGTAAATCTATATTATGAAACTAAATAAGGTGACAATGCACATCCTTGACAGACACACAACTGGTTGTCAACAACACTACTGATGGATAATCTCCCATATACCCTCACATTGCTACTGTAGCATAAGTTCGAGTACAATGACTTGATGATTAGTGTAATGTACTTCGTTTTATAAACAAACCATGTGTGTTGCAGTAATACAACTGAAATGATAGTCTACTAACAGTTTGCTAAAAGTTTATTATCATAAAGATACTTTCCCGTCAGAAATTAAAAGGAAGACCTGAAAATGAGTGAATAACTTTCATCATATCAATGCTCTTCGCAGCTTCTTTATACACAATCATATTTATAAACAGCTTATGCGTTAAAGAGAATTTTCTTTGTGAAACTACTTGATTACAGAAGAGTAGTGAATGAAATGAGCACAAGAAACCGACCATTACTATTATTATTTCCTTGGGTTCTGCGCGGAACATACGGCTTCAACAACACATCTCCACTTTCTTCTATTTCCTGAGGTCCTCTTCAAATGAGTGACTCTAAGACCGACCATAATCTCTCATCTCCTCCATGTCGCCCTCACACTGACGACCCACTCGTCGTTTTCCATTGGGATTCCACTCGACCGATGGCCAGGATTGCGTGCGATGTCATTCAAAGGCCTTCTCAATGTATGCCTTATCCCCATCTCCATTTTCTCCTACATATTTGTTGAGCAATAGCCAGAATTTCTCGTTGCTAATTCTTTCTGACCAGCCGGTTGGCCATTTGATCTTCAGTATGGAGCCAGCAAGCGAAATGGACAGCTGCTGATAAAAGTCTGCAACTGGCTGTTGGAAATCCTTTTAGCGACTGACACGCAGTGCGAATTTCTGACCCATAATAGAAGCAGTGATGGACTCAACATTTGTGTTGAAAAGAATCCGAATCGTGTTATTTATGCTGGCTGGCTGAGTGAGGCACAAGATTTCCAAACTGGTTTCAGGCTGATGAAGAGTCATCTTACTTCTCTTTCTGATTCTGGCTGGCTGGCCAGCTTTGACATCTTCATCCCTGCTGTCCGACTGTATGTGACTGAAACCAAGCTTCCTGGCTAGATAAGTGAAGGAAATGACCTCTGTCAAATGTCTCCTGTTTAATGATGATTAGTGCTGTTTGTTGTTGATGCTGTTGCTGTTGGCCGGTTGGTTCGTTATCTTCATCACCTCCATCTTCTCTATGTTCACCTGGAGTCCAATCTTCGCTGACTAATTCTTCAGCCAGTTTCACGGTTTGAATTACTTCTCACTTTAAATTATATGAAGTTAGATTAAATTACAAAATTATCTACTAATAGTACTTTCTCCATTTGTGTAAGTAGAATCAAATACTTTGAATGTAATAGCATAGATGTACTTTTCTAGTCTTTTGTGAATTATAAATAGAATATAATACAATTATAATTATTGGACATTAATTTGAGTAAGTACAAATATCAGTATCTAGTATTTTTACTGCGCGATTAAAAAATATGTGTACACAACAGTGTAATACATAGACAAGAGTCTAACAGCACTATTTTTTATGTAACTGTGTGTATAAGAGTACAAATGTACTAATACTGAAACACTATTATTATATTTTAATAATAATAATAACAGACTTAGTGTAGAGCTGTTGTCCAACCACTGGGTCACAGGTTTTAACCCTGCCTACCAATATTTAGGCTAACCGGTAGTATTATTAATCCTTATGGCCAACTGCAAGTGATTGAGTAAAAATGAATAGTAGATAAAGCCCATAATCAGCTGATTAAACGTGGCATAAATCAGCTGAAATTAACCAATCAAAAAGCGTGTAAATTGCTTACACACTAGATTGACGCCTACGCACTTGTAAGCAAATTAAGTAAGCATTCTCTGATTGGTAAATTTCAAGCATTGCTGCTTTACTGGGCTAATCAGCTGATTAATGCGCTTTCATCCACTGCTGTAAAACTATCATTTTATTTTATTTTTTTATTAACAAACTCTAATTGTGAAATATTTACTCATCCTTCCTACATAATTTCCAAGTAAACCGATAGAATATCATGTAATACAAGATCTTATCCTCTAAGATAGTTATTTTTCCTTCGGATAAATGATCAATAATCAGAAATACTCACATTTCGATTCAAAGACAAAATTGAATGACCAAATCAAAAGTAAGAAATTAAAAGAGAAAATTAAGGTTTTTATTCTGGATAAAAATTCAGGTCCAACCCAGTGAATTAAGCACGCCACCGCTGACAGTTACGTCAAATAGTTTCAATGTGACCAAGTGATATAAAACATCGGTAGCAGTAGCACAGTCGTTGGTTAAACTGTAGAAAGCTCACCAGTTATATCAGAAATGTAGTCGATCAGTGCTCATATATGGTTCAGAGACTTGGTATACACACATCCCCAGAAACCTACTGTAGAATTTTATATAATGGAAACTATTTGTAGCTAAGGTGGATGATTTTGATGTAGTTGTGTTCTCTGAGCTGGACGCTTTGCTTGCGAAGCTTTCATTGTCCTTCTAAGCAACATCTTCAGCGCATACTTCAATTTGTTGAAGTGAGCTTTTAGATTTCCCCACGAACTTATTAGTTATCTCTCCTGGCGGCCTGGAACGTGATTGGTTATTTCTGCGTGTTTTCACACCCTCTAGGCTACGTGTACTGATTGTTTCCTTGACCTGAAGTTTGACTTTCCTCTCATGGACTGATAAATTTTACCAATGTCAAACTAGCTGGTAATTGCTGATTCATTGAAATATCAAGCTTCCGAAAATTCTCTGGCATTCTGGGTGTTTCCTCTGCCTAATATTTGGATGTTATTCCAGTCGAACTGATGTCCGTGGTTGTCTGTATGCAATAGAGCAATATCAGGGAGTGAATATCATGTCTTTTGACGACTAGTTTGTGTTCATGGATGCGAAGACGAAGAGGACATCCACTTTGACCAATATAATGCTTTTCGCAGTCGTTGCGCAATTTATTTTGTTGGTCTTAACTTCTTTCGCTATTGAGGCTTTTGGTTGACAAAGAGCTGAGTGTGAAGTGATTTTGTTGGTTTAAATGCGGCAATATCAATTCCTAAAGGTTTGAAGAGTCTTGCAGTAATTTCTGAGACGTTCTTTATATATATATATATATATATATATATATATATATATATATATATATATATATATGATAAGACGATTTTCTTTGTGTTTTCCTTGTAGGCCTTTGATTTGGTTGGCTGGCTTTATCAATAGCTACCTATGCTAACTTGACACTGGAGATCAGACGGAAAGCCAGAAGGAATAGGTACCAAACGAGCAGGTTAGATTCTCAGCCTGAACACATCCAAACTTCTCCTAGGCCTAATAGCCGGAAAAGAGGTGGAGGAAGACTGTCTATGAGGCCCATAAAAATAATGCCACTACTCAGTGGAACTTGGAATGTTTCACTCGGCATTCATAAGGGTTGAAAATACACAAATGATCATCATTATAATAACTAAAAACCACTAACCTGATAGCAAATAATCCAATTCTATTATCACCATTTACAGTCCATTTTTGTGTACTCAAATTAGGATCACACGAGTGATTCATGAAACGGGATAAATTACCCTTAGGTCCAGCATCAATAATACGTTGACTGTCCAACTTCATCATATAATAATTAGTTATATTATTTTCATGAGCAAATCTTAAACGTCGATTCGCTTCATCTTCATCAATTAAATCACCAATGTATTCATTAACAAATTCTCCCTGGAATAAGGAATTCATTTTTTAAGAAAATGGAAATAAAAATAAAAAGAATTACGTTGGGATTACTATTATTAGGTGGGAATTTATATCGACGAAAACCAGATGAAAGTTACAGGATTTCATCGTGATGAGCTAACATTGGTTAGAGAACCATTGGAAAACCTGGTAGTAAGGGACAGCTGTTTCGTCCTAGTTTGGGACTCTTCAGAAGGTTATCACAACAGGCATGCCCTCCTTCCATACAAACACACATAATTATAAGCTATAAAAACTGTCTGAAACATAAACAGAAATAACTGAGATGAACCGGATTTCATGTTCGATCACAAACTGACCTAAACTATAGAACCGTTGAAAAACCAGTATTTGACGACTATTTTGTCATTGTTTGGGGCTCTCTTAAGCTTCACATACTACTACTCATGAGCCCATATCTTTCAGGTTATACAAGGCAATCTCGTCGACTGTTTGGCCACTAGGTTCGAATCCCATGACCAGCACTTCAGTCGTAACTCCACTCCCCCTCCCACTCAACATCATAGATATCTTTCTTCAAACTAGACAAAAATTATTGAAATGTCATTATTGGAACCATCTTTGAGCCGTTTAATTCCGCTATATCTAGCTATTAACCCTTAGAAAAACCTCTAGAATCCATGCGTATTAATTGCGTTTAACAAATCAAAAGTAAAATATCATTCTCATAGGCAATTACTGAAGTATCCAATAACCTTTTACCAATTCACTATGCCGTCGACATCATTAATCTCCGTTTCTATGCAAAAACAACTAGATTTAATTCCCGACGTAGGTGTGTATAAGTAATCGCCGAAACAAATTTACCACGCTTTCATTCCCACTCTCCCTAATAGAGGATAGAAAAGAGGCAGTCAGTTACAATTTGAATTTCCTCAGGTATTTTTTTCTTAGTGCTATGCTCAGTTACATGCGATTTTTTTATTACGTGTATAAAGGGATACTGTGATCACAATCCCAAATATTACAAGTGTGTGCTATCAGTTACCACTGGAATATCTGCCATCTGTCTGTTTTCGATACAGAACCTTCCACCGATGCGCGGCAGTTCAAGTCGCCACACACCCTCCATGTACCACACAAAGCAAGAGAAGAAAGTAGGAGAAATGCATAGCATAGACAGTAAACAGAGGTGTGAGACAAAGGAATAGTAATAACGAAGAACAATATAGTTTCATTTGAAATCATAAGTCACAAGGAGTGGATGCATCTGCGCCAGTCATTGAGAGCGATTTTGAGCCATAACACCAATTGTTTCCGACCACTGGTTTTTACCGTCCCAAGGACCCCAACACGTCAGGAAGTTTACACCTCCCTATGTGGCTGGTTGGCTGGCTTAAACTAACTGTTGTGGATTTCATTGACTGGCGCCATGTTTTGGTTTGACCACCGCTAGCTCTTTACCAGCCTGACCCTATGTCAGCTAACATGGCCCGTCAAGGAAGGCGATGACTAGGCAAGGCATGTGTAACACGTATCTTAGCCATCTCAATCGATGTAACTTCACAACCTCATCGATTGATTTCTCCTACTTACCTAATAACTCTCAATGAATAACCTTCAATATTCCCCATCCTATTATACCACCACCTAACAGGAAACATTGAATCCAGACGCTTATAATGATCAAAGACAAACTAGCCAGCGTTTTCATGACTTCCACTTCCAATGACCATGCCTCACTCACAGTTATAAAGGAAGAGGATGGATCGACTTGCACACGTCCTTTGATCGATATAATAGCCAATCACCAGATATCATCATGTCTACACAAGTGATGATGCATTTTGGCAAATGCCACACGAGTCTTTTGTATCTATGCTGAGATTTCATCAACAATCAACCCGTTGGAGCCGATGCAACTTCCCTAATTAAGTGAAGAGGTCAACACGCTCCACACCAACCACTTGATTCCCGTCTATATCGTTAAGCTAGAAGTGAATTGATGTACTCCAATCCTGTAGCATCATCAACTCACATTTGACACAAGGGGAAGGGGATGCACAAAAGCATGCTAATGCAAGCTCTTTAAAATATGAGTGAAATTGTAAGATAAATTCACTAGAGAACCCGTCGCTATGACAACAAGTGTTTAAATTTATTCATCAAAACGATAGTAATTCTTATAACATCGATGTGTGATACATTAAACTAGAGATATAATAGTTTAAAAAATAGTTGCAACTTTAAAAAAGAAAACATACTGCACGAATTGCAACCATGGTTTTTAATCCCCAGCCGCGTTCATCACCTGTCCAAAATGGTTGTTGAGGTGGATAAAGACGTTTTGTGAACCGTTGATTACGACATGCTTCTCCATTTGGACATGCACTAGGCAGACATTCATAGTGTAATTCACGATTTATACAATTACTAGATGGTCCACATGGATCTTCTGAATCCTTAATACAATCACAACGTGGAGCTTCACTTGAATCAGTAAGACGATAGACACGAACAGAGCCAATTGGCCAATTCACCTGTGTAATTGAAAGTTCGGGGAAGAGAGGGGGGAGAGAAAAAGAAAACAGAATGTGAGTTATGGGAAAGACAAAGAAAAGAAAAAACGGTTGTATCGAAATCACCAACTAGGTTGTACACTTGAAAAATTTATGACAAAGGGATGAGAAACTTTTATCTTCCAATAAAAGAACAAACACCTCGTGAACTTAAAATGCTCAGCTTCACTTGAGGAATCCTTCAAAGTCCTGAAAACACAATCTGATCAAACCTCTCAAATGGCTTGAGAGATGAAGACATTTGAAAACAGAAAGATTGAGCGAAGAAATATTAACTTTTCAATCAGACCCTCATCTCTGGCTTTACTCTAATGTATATATATACATATATATATATATATATACATAGCATTTTTATTACAATACACAACAATTTACCAATCAAGTGGCGATATGTTTGTTAGAGTAGAGCCAGAGATGAGGATCTAATTGAAAAGTAAATATTTCTTCGCTCAATCTTTCTGTTTTCGAAATGTTTAAATGAAGATTATCTTTTTCTATATAGAAGACATTTGAGTTTAAACCAACGCCAAAAGAAATGTAACTGCAGAAAACAAGAGAATTGGCAACAGGCTTTTATCCAAAAAATAAGGAAAAGACCATCATACTTATAGATTTTTAGCCACATTAAAAGTAGGCTAGATCAGCTGACAATAAGCTATTCTGATTGGTTGGAGGTTGGCTCAAGGTTAAACAATGGGACGAAGAGTTGTCCATTGGAACTGTTTCATGTAAGCTAAATCCAGATTTGAGGAAGATAAGCACTCCTACCTTTGCTGCAACTATTGCCTTAAAATGTGTTGACCTCTTCAAATATATATATATATATATATATATAACAAAAGCCAATACTCGAAAATCCATCTATCTAATGCTCATTAGCGACTCGCCCTAATCAGGCAGTTAACCTGGGGTTCTAGTGGGAAGCCACGACCAGTAGGGTACAGCAGGTTGAAAGTGATGAGGTAGTAACTCATCGAAGAAGACATTGGCTAGTGGTCGCACTATATCGTGAATTGTCAGAAGTTAGAATTCATGGGCTGGCCACTGGATCGGATCCCAGTGGCTTAATGGCATGCGAGTTTGCCTTGTAACCAGGTCCTGGGTTCGAACCCTATCGGTGGGTGAGTGCGTATGATGAAGAGTCCCAAACTGGGGCGAAACAGCTGTTCAGTACTTCCAGGTTTTCCAATGGTTTTCTAACTACTGTCAGCTCATGATGAAATCCTTCGTCCAATGTCAACAAATTGTAACTGATCCTTGTTGCACAAGTAATGCTTGCCCTTACGGCTCAGTGTTGATAACTCTTTAGCGTTTGAGAAATGATAGGTGTACTGGACATGTAAGTCAACACTCATTGAGGGATGCAGATACACCTAGTCGATGAATCTAAAATAGGACGAAGTACTTATTCTGGATTCTACCATTAGCCAGCCACTATCAAGAGAATCAAACCTAGATTATTACTATTGGTATTATTCTATCCTGTATCAATCAGTAGAACGCTACTATAATGCAGTTCCGAATGTCATTTATGATGGATATCAAGATGATTACACAGTTTCGTAACTTTTCATTTTGATAATTTGACTCAAGGTATAACCAGTTCTCACCAGCAAGAATTGATTTAGATCTATGGAGTTCAGTCTATCCGAGTACACCACTAGTGAACTCGATGGGTGCGAATACGGGCAGCTCCACTCTCCAATGTTTATTTCGTCTCAATTTGATTGGCAAGTATACTACTACTGATTGGTGTGAATGACTTCCAATTAGTCATATTACAGCCATTCAAAGACTTTAAACAGACTTATTTATACAACTGAGAGGGCAAAGTCAAATAATCACGATCCATGGAATGCGAACACACACGAGTGAACTTGAGCTGACCAATCAGAAGAAAAAAATACGTTGATTTAAGTGAAAACACATTAGACAGGGTATTTTTCCCTGATATGACTTGAAAACATCTCCCAATTACAGCGAGGAGCTTCAATTTTTAAACTGAAGCAGTTTCCATACATATATTCACCAAGATGATTGAAAATGAGTCCCTTTTTGTAACCCGTTGATTGCTCTTATCCGATTTTCCAATCTACTCCAGAAACCCTCGATTGAAATGGTATGGGTCCCAGTAGGGGGGTCGACGAGATCGTCAGAATGCTCCACGCGATGATGGATAAATGCTATATGTAATAGGCCATTGCATCCACCCATTCTCCAGGAATGACTAATCTTTGTAAAATTGGTAGAAGAATGTCTGCACTACGACTTGGAATTACCTCCACATTTCACTTCTGAAGTTTCGTGTCGTATATACCAAATATCCAAACGTTATTTGCCCAAGGGTGACCATGGTTATACTTCTTATTTATGAGAACTGTTTCATTGATGTGAACAATAACACTAACTCGGCCTAACAGCTGAGTGAAAGTATTCATCTTCCAGGATGCTCCTATATCTCTGCAATGTTGGAACCATTTCAAAGGAGATACTAGGGAATTTGCCATCTCTGCAACGGCTGATCTCATATTCCAGTCCTTAATATCGAATAATGGCAGATAAGAAGTATACTTCTGACTGGACATTAACTAGCGTCATGTGTCTAGTCTTTTGTTTACTGAAGACTGCATTCTATCGTCAGTCACGTTTGCAATGTGACCACCATGTCCCAACTAGGTGGCTCGCCATCACGCTTCACTCAGGATTGTTGTCATTAGATGGTTGGAGGCGATCAGCACGAAGCCACTTCAGACCTAGGTTTCGTGCTTGTTGGCACTCCTCAGTCAGCAAGGCGTATCTGCAATCTTCAAGGAACTCATGTTCCTTCTGAGATCCAAACCCGTGTCACCCAGTGAGCACTGCAGTCAGAGATGTTACCACTGAGCTATTCGGGTTCGCGACTGACCTCCTGTAGGACCGTATTAGGTACTTTTGATTGCCTATTGTCTCCAACCATCTAATGTATAAGAAGTATATTGATCAGAGGTAATTTCGACAAAGAGAAGAAAGTTTGTAGAAGACAATGAACTAACTGTGTAACCTGCCATTACGAACACTCATTCTTTTTTCCTACACTGTGTACTACCTAAATACATGTCCATCACCTGCTTCTGAAAACCGATAAATGTACACAGAAGCACCACAATGGCAAACACGGCTACCATGCTATCACCCCATTGTCTTAACTCTACTACTTAAAATCGTGTCCGGGGTGGAATTTTCACCTGGATATTGGCGCTATATATAATAATGACAGATCCCATTCATTATCCAACGACGACGACTAGTATACATTCAAGGTCATTGGTGCGTTCACCCTTCTGAATCATGATACTACTACTTTATCACTTGACCTTATTGGGAATTAATGACTGTGAACTACAAAAAATAAATTCTATGTACACACATAATGAGAAAGACAAAACTACTTTATACCATTGGTTACAGGATTTCATCATGAGCTGATATCAGTTAGAGAACCATTGGAAACCCTGGGAGTACTGGACAGCTAATTCGCTCTGGTTCGGGACTCTTCATCAGTACGCACCCACCCACTGGGATTCGAACCCAGCACTGCTGGTTACAAGGCGAGCTCGTAGACCATCAAGCCACTGGGACACGATCCAATGGCCCATGAAATCTAACTTCTGCCAATTCACGATATAACGCAACCCCGAGTGGGAAGTTGTGAAAATAGGGTGCAGCAGGTCGGGTGTGAGGAAAAATACTCGCCAAAGACATTGGCTAGTGGTCACGCTACATAGTGAATTGGCAGAAGTTAGAATTCATGGGCTGGTCATTGGATCGGATCACAGTGGCGTGATGGTCAACGAGCTAGCTCGCCTTGTAACCAGAAGTTCCTGGGTTCGAACCCCGGTGGGTTGGTACGTGTTGCTGAAGCGGAGTCCCAAACTGAATTGACGAAACAGCTGTCCAGTACTCCCTAGTTGGTTTTCCAATGGTTCTCTAATCAATGTCAACTCATGAAGAAATCCTGTAACCAATCAACCAAATCCCTACAAACCAATACTTGAATACTTTATACCATCTTTCAAAATGACAAGAACAGGCTCTGATTTAAACGCCGACAACAACAACAACAACAGCAATAAAAACACACAGAAAACCACAATCCAACTTACTTTAATTGGTTTATAATAATCAGGACGCCGTTTTCTGCCTAATAGCTTGGAGAATTTTTCACGTCTTTTAAGCCAACCCCGAGCAGCTTGTTTGATTGCAGCATTATAAATAAATTTCCTACGTCGAATCACATATGGCGGGGTACGTCGATTAGACAGAAGTCCTGTATTACAATTACTTGAATTCTCATCATTTAAATATCGATTTCTACGTGGTCTTAAATATGGATATCGTGGTGAACGATTATTATGATTATAAGTTGTTAACTTGTTAGCTGATGTAGTAGTATTGGATGATTCTAATGAAGTATTACCTGATTCGGGTGTTTTATTAATGTTATTATTATTATTATTACTAGTAGTAGTAGTAGTAGTATTGCCAGTATGATTAGTACTATCTTCAACAAGAAAATTACTGGGATTCAATTCTAACAATGGATCTTCATCTTCACCATCATCCTGCTTTTTACGACGATTACGATTAGCCCGTTGTTTTGATGATGAAGAGACCTTTTTCTTGACAATGTCACTTTCTTCACCACGTCCAGATTCAGTAGATTCGTCATCGTCATCATCACTTGAGCTTAAGAGATGGAGAGAGAAAAAAGGATATAAGAAACCAATAATGCGTGTATACAACTCCTTTTCTAAAGACCTAACAAAAATTTGAATTATAAACACATACTGACTGGTTTCAATATAGAACCCTGCACAGATGTGCAGCATGCTTACTAATTATAGTTAGTGAGACGACTGTAGATACTGCAAGGGTGCTCAAACCGAAGGTGGTCATCTTAAGGGACCACCAAGCACTCACCCACACCCACCGAGCCTTTGACATGAAGTCTCATCCACAACAATAGGATAGAGGAGCAGCAGTTAATTAGTGACGTCCCCATGGATGCCGGTGAGCAATGCAAGTTCACATGCCACCAAATAGTAACTCCTTTCATACAGTCTTACCGCTACCTCGAAACAATCATACTACTAGCATGGTACAGACCTACAGGACTACAAGTTCCGTCCAGTGTAGCTTCTTGGGTCACTGTAGTATACAAGACCGACAACCAAGTCAAGGTGTGACAGTTATCGGTTGGGAAACACATATTTTAACAGGATAAAACAAGAAACTTGGCAGCGGGATGTATATTTGCAATTTGATTGATATACAAATATGGGAAAATTATGTATCGCATAGATTGAAATCGTCATTTGCACAGATCTCCCATGTTGTGCTACTTCTGCCCTGAATATTGTATTTCTCTGCCTTCTCTTCGTGCCTCCCATGTTTCGCCACAATACTGGTTCATTTGTTCTCTTTAACGTTAAAACAATCTCTGCGCTAATTGACATTTTAGTGTCGATGAACGTTTCTGTATATACTACTGATAAATCTTGTCAGTAGCACAAGCTACAAAAGAAGTGAATAACTTATGCATACCATATTTTTAAATTACTCCTTGAGTTGTTCCAAGTAGAATGCATCTTTATCAGAAATCTTCAAATGTTTGGTGTGCAGGACAGGACTGTACGAACGTCGTTCCAAATGGTGCAAATGAATTCGCTCCTTTTGATCTCCACCCTAGATCCTCCGTTTAATCCATATACTTTTCCTTGTTGAGTGTGGCAACTTGAAATGCCGCACTTTTCTTTGCGAAGTTCTATTTTGAAACTTGGTGATTCAATAATGGAAGATACAACCACAAGGTGTTTAAGTTTCATTAACGATGCTGTTGCTTTCTTTTTCTCTTATTTTTCACGGGGTGGTGTTACTAGCCCTACCCACGCCCAACCTTCTCTCATTTCTGGCCCTATTATCACTTCCCAGTAAAATAGGGCTGTCGCAGTTGCGTCGGCCTGGGATTCCTTTATGAGGCTGTCGAGTATTCCTACCATTGGACCACTGACGCACACACACACATACCACTATTATTATTATTATTAATATGGTTTCTTTTAATTCCCAGAGGAATATAGGGAGTAAGCTGCACGTCTCCATTGCGTTCGGTTATTCTCCTATGTTTTCACCTAACTCCACGTCTGCCCACATCTTTCATCTCTTGTTCGCATGACCGCCTCCATGTCACCCTCGCACTGACGACCAACTCACCACTTTCCATTTATGTTCCACTCGAGCGACGGCCTGGCAAGTGATGTCACTTGAAGATTTGTTTTCTCAGAGTATGACCAATCCACCTCCATTTCTTCCTGCATATTTGTTGTACAATAGGTTCCTGCTGGGTTGGTTCGCTACCAGAGTTCCATCCCTATTGCTGGTCTTTTCTGACCATCTGATTTTGAGTATTCAGCGAAGACAGCTGTTGATGAAGGCTTGTAGTTAGTTCGGAGTACCATTCGTCACGCACTGGTCAAGTCTCTGATCCATATAGTAAGTATCACTCACTACATAGTGGAGTTGAAAATCCGGATCTTAATTTTCATGCTGTTAATCCATCTCTACGCAGACTTGAGAGTAATGAAAGCTTGTCTTGCTTTCCCGATCCTCGTTTTGATATCCTCATCAGTTTCATCCGCCTTTAGTTGAAACGACGCTCCCCAGGTGGGTAGGTAAGGGAGGTTGCTTCTTTCAGATTTCTCCCATTTGTGCTGATTATTGTCTGTTGCTGTTGGCCAGGTATCTTCATCACCTCTGTTTTCTATATGTTCACCTGAAGTCCTATCTTCTCTGGATTCTTCTTCTGCCAGCTTGTTGCTTTTCACTTGCGTATCTTCCGCTTTATGGGAAATCAGACATATATCATCGGCGAAGTCCAGATCGTCTAAGTATTTTGTGTGTGTCCATTTTATGTCTGTCTCGTCGTTCCCCACTGTCTGTTGCATCATCCAGTCTACCGCAATCAGGAAAATCATTGCAGATAGTAGACAGCCAGCTTGTCTTACCCCTGTCTTCACTTCGAAGGATTCCGTGAGTTTCCCGATGTGGATTTCTTGGCATGCAGCATTGTCATACAACTGTTGGATGAAATGTATAAATGTCGGTGGCACCCCATAGCAGCGTAGTTGCCAAATCACATATCGGTCGACGCTGCGCTGTCGAAGGCCTTTTCAAAGTCAATGAAGTTGAGTTAGAGTTAGAGAGCTGACTGACATTTCAAGCTCCGTTCAATTATGATCCGTAGTGTTGCGATTTGCTCAATGCATGACTTGTTTCTCCTGAATCCAGCCTGTTCCGTTCGAAGTTTTTTATCCAGGTCGGCGTGCTTGATTCTCTTCAGAATGATGCGGCTTAGTATTTTACTTGGGATAGACAGGAGCATAATGCCACGTCAGTTAGTGCATTGACTTAAATCTCCTTTCTTTAGCAGTTTGAATAAGTAGCCATTCTTCCAATCCACAGATACCTTGCCTTCTTCACACACCTTCTCCAGTGGTGGTGTCAGTAAAGTACGCTCATGTTTCTGGGTCACACATACCACTACAATATACAAATTATGTGTATGACCTGTAATGCTTTGAATGCAGTGACTCAAGCATTTATGAAATCGGGAACAATACATGCAGCAAGGTGAAGTATTCAGGCATCAACTGTAAACTTGTATAACTTATTATCCGTTAAATACTGGATTCATTAAAAGAACTCAAAACAAATAGGACTAAGGATACTGATTTAGGTGAAAAATTATGAGTCACTGAAAATTATCGACAATAAAATACTTGTTTGGTCTTCGGTTTACTTTGTAGAAATATTCCCTATAACGACTTGATACGGTCGAAGATAAGTAGACCTTGGGCTTCCTCTAGAAATGCACACTCATGTCACTATGCGTTCACAACCTCTAGCAGATAAGTCCCGTGTTCAGTGCTTTCACACGACGACTCACGTGTTCTCCACATAAGTTAAAAGAGCGAATGTGAATGTTTGTCGCTTTCAACCAGATTGATAAATCCCGACCGATAGCTGCTACCTTGACGTGGTGGTCGGGCTTGCACATCGCGATGACCCAACAATCTACACTGGCTGGAACTAATGTTCCTGCCGGTCCATGCCAGGAAGGTCGTTAGGATAGCGATTAGACTAAAAGCAGTTATCAGCAAGTCTCTATTACATTATGCTGGGGGTCTGAAGGCGAAGTCGTACTGCTGGGGAACAGAGATGTGACAGCAGTGAGGTGTTTCCCTCAGATGACCAGCATGCCAGTCAGCTATGCTGTCTCTCCACTCCGGAGAGGGGGTTAGGAAAGGTCGACTCCAGCAATTGTACATCCCGACTTACCCTACGGTGGTCCGTAACCGGTGGTAAGTTTACTAATACGGAACCAAACCAAGAAACCAGTTCATACAGGCCGTGTGTGACCGGCCTCAAGCAGTTGTCCCTTGGGCTCTGCGGTCACGTAACACTAATCCTCTCTCTCTCTGTTTCAGGTACTCGAAGAATCAATCAACTTCCACGGTGTGGTCAGTCGGGAAGTAACAACCACCCACACGCTTTCAAAAGCACACGAAGCCTTCCAGAGCATCATTCTCCTCTACCCGCATCACCTTCATCATCTTATTCCCCTACTACGGTTAGTACTATCCTTCTACAGTTAGACAGATTGATGAATATGCAGGTCTGCGAAAGGGAGGGGTGGAAACACAGATTTGAAACTTATGGTGTACATAGGCTCCAAAAAACCATAGGAACGTAGCTCCTGACGCTGCTGCACAGCCTTGTCTATGGAGATCAGACTTCAAGTTAAAGGTTGACTAGACTTCCAGACAGTAACCCAGACCTCGTACAAACTACAAGTTTTCGTGTGGCACATCTCTTCGTGCCCATAAATTAGAAATACTAAATAGGATATGACTTGTATCAAAAATTACTTCAGCAACACCAATCGTGTTGAAGTTTCTGTAGCAATTTGGTTAGGTTTTGGGGGGGTAGAGTTGCTAGCACCACGCCTCGACCCTCCCTCTTTATCCGGGCTTGGGACCGGCTTGAAAACAAGCGAGCTAGCAAACTAGGCAACAACTGTCTTCGCTCTATACTGAAGATCAGATGGCCGGAAAGAATCACCAACAAGAAACTATAGGAACAAACAAAACAAGAACCAATCGCTCAGCAAATATTCAGGAGAAAGTGGAGATGGATTGGACACTCGCTGAGGAGGCCGCTGGGTGACATCGCGCGTCAGGCTAACGCTCGAGTGGAACCCGAAAGGGAAGCGGCGAGTGGTTCGTCGGTGCAAGGGTGACATGGAGGAGATCGTGTGAAGAAGAGTTGAAACAGCATAGACTAACATGAATGCAGGTGAAAAGTACAGCAGAAGCAAGTAAAGATGTGCAGTTGAAGCCCTATGTTTCACTAGGAACCCAAGGGAACAATAATAATAATAATATAACACCACTCGCGACTACAAATGACTACTTATCAATTAGTAGGTGAGAAAAAAAAAAAAAGAATGACTTCAGAAAACACAAAAGAGAAAAAAAACACTTATCACTTAGCATAAAACTTACCTAGAACTACTTCCTCTTCGTTTATCATCCCCTTCTTCATATGGAAATAATCTAGCACGTGTTGTCAAAAGATAAACAGGACGTGGATGTTTCGTTGAAAGACTATTCGTCAGACCATATAAACGAACAAATACTGAACCGAGGATATTATTAGATGTAGGCAATTTTGGACTACTTGTTGGTTGAAAGTTAATTGCAAATGTTTGACTGTTGTTATTATGGCTATCATCTTTTACAGAATGTTGACTTGTTGGTAAATGTTGCGGATGAACTAATTCCCCTGGCCACCAATACATACCAGATGTTAGCGAGGCATATTCATTAGGACGAAATACACCCGGTAACCGATGGGAATTATATGCAACCGATAATTTTAAACAACGTTGGTGATATGATTGGAGACTTGGTGGTAAACGTGCCCATACAATCTCACCATAACGTAACATTCGACCATTTGTACAATCTTCACAGATAAATTTATCTGGTACCTAAATACAATGAAGAAAAAAATATTGTTATTCAAGTATTGATTTGTAGGGATTTGATTGATTCGGTTACTGGACAGAATTTCATTGAGTTGGCAATGGGCTAGAGAGCTATTGGAAAACCAGTTGAGAGTAATGGGAAGCCTACTGTTTCGTCTCAGTTTCAGACTCTCCAACAATACCCACCCGCTGGGGTTTGAACCCAAGACCTTGTGGTTACAATGTGAGCTCGTAGACGACTATTGTTTATTTAGATATATTCTATTCTATAAATAGTCCGTCGGTGGTGGTTCAGCCGGTGGATGTTCGCCAACCGCGCATATGTGGTCCGCGATTCAATCCCGGTTCAACGCACTCCTGAACCCCGCTAAACCCACAATAGGGCCGGTAAGGAGGGAGGCTGGCAACTAGATCCAGGGAAAATAAAGAAAAACGCACAGCTACCGAAACTTCAAAACTCTAGCTTGAAGTCTTATACTCCATTCGGCCTGTAAAGGAATAAAATTTTAAAAAATAAAAATTCCATAGATGATATATATATATATATATATATATATATATATAATATAACCCAACCCTTACTCCTACAATTCGTTAACTCTTGCATTCTGCTTATTATTCTCTATTGTTCCCCCTTAGTTTTTCCCGGGCTACTGTAAAAAGACTATAACATATTATGCAGGATGTTAAAGGTTGTCATCAGGGTAAGCAACGTGCCACTTAACCAGCTTGTTAATATTCTGTTCGACAGGCACATGGACTCATGTGAAAAATGGGCCAAATCCATTTTATTTAACTCATACCACCCTCTTCACACACAACTCTCCCCTTGCATTTCATCAGGCAAAACCAGAAGCCTATATGGAAAACTATATGCTCGCACCAGCAAGTACAAAAACTCAACCATAGCCTACTTAGCTCGTGTTCTGTGCGATAAAGAAAGCATTAGGCGTGACACCTATAACTCATTAAATAGTCAGCAGAACAACTAGACCTCGTCTTTCCAACTCATATCATTTATAGGTACAACATTTTCTTTCTTTCTTTTCCTTTTCTCTCTCTCCCTCTTTTTTCCGTAATGTGCTGCTTTGTTTCTTTCTCTCGCTTACGCCAGTAAATATGACAGCACCTACTTTCCTAACATCTTCAAACACTGTTTAACTTTGGCTTTGCTACCGACATGCCAATATATTGTTGAAATAATGAACTGAGGTTTCCTTAATCTTTGTAGAATTCTATTTATTGATAATGTACTAACTGGATGCAATACTGTAGTAAAATGCTGAAAATTCCATTCTGTATCACAGGTACTGTTTTGGAATAAAGCAAATACTGATGAAAGAAAAACATACATGATCTACTTTTCAAAATATCAATACATATTTTGTGATTAATATCCTTAGTTAGCTGACAGTACACCTGTAGCCTTTCCAGGAAGTAATGGTATTCCCACTGAGACTCGAATCCATCATACAACGTCAACAAATAACACGTTGATACCTGCTGCATGGTCTACGAGCTAGCTCGCCTTGTAACCGGGAGGTCTTGGGTTCGAACCCTGTCAGTGGGTGGGTGCGTACTGGTGAGGAGTCCCAAACTAGGACGAAACAGCTGTCCAGTACTCCCAGGTTTCCGAATGGTTCTCTAACCAATGTCAGCTTATGATGAAATCCTGCAATTTTTTAAAATTCAGATAGTAAGTACTAGTCTTCTTTCACTGTTTAAACTACAGGTATCTTTCGACCACAATGAGCACCTGACCAGACAGCTTTAAAATGCTCACTGATACACAATTTACGTGTTGAATATGAAAAAAACAGGATGTTTAAGAATTAAACTGCTTTTGTTGACAAACGTAAAGAACAGCCACCAAAGTTAAATAACATTGAACCAGTCAATCGAATCGCTCAACATTACAAATTAATGTTTTTCATAATCTCCGTTGTAAGTTTAATCCTGATTCAGGGTTGAGGTTTATTTTTTTTATTTTTTTATTACACCTTGATGCTACACCGTATTTTCAGTACAAGTATGGAATTTTCAGCAGGGATATCGGTAGCCCAAAATTTGCAGGCCGACCATAGATATCGGTTGTGCGCCGGCAGGGGATCGAACCCCGGACCATGTGCATGGTCGGCCAGAGTCCTAACCACTGTGCCACCGACGCAATTAAGGTCGGTATATCACACTACGGTTAGGGTAAATATTGCAACGACAATTATGAAGAGCATCAATTTCTAATGATGAGCGATTAGAAAATGATGCTCTTTGATCATAGGTACCTGCGTTCTATCTCCCGTAAGAAGTTGTATAGTACGATGAGCAGTACTGAGGTTAGGTGTCGAGTGCTAGGTAAGGAGGGGATTCAATCGACGAGGCTGTGAAATTACATCGACTTAGATGGTTAGGACATGTGTTACGTATGCCTGCCTAGTCATCGCCTTCCTCGATAACAGGCGATGTTAGCTGACATAGGGTCAGGCTGGAAAATAGTTAGCGACGGTCAAACCAAAACACGGCTTCATCAGACAATGAAATCCACAACAGTTAGTTTAAGCGAGCCAGCCACGTAGGGAGGTGTAGACTTCCTGACCTGTTGTGGTCCTTGGCCGGAGCCAATTGTTGATGTGGCTCAAAATCCTCATTCTCGATGACAGCGCAGATGCATCCACTCCTTGTGACTTATGATTTCCAATGAAACTACATTGTTCTTCGTTATTACTATTCCTTTTGTCTCATATCCCTGTCTACTGTCTCTATTTTGCATTTCTCCTACTTTCTTCTCTTGCTTTGTGTGGTACATGGAGGGAAAGTGAAGACTTGAACTGCTGCACATCGGTGTAAAGTTCTGCGTTGAAAACAGACAGAGACAGATAGGCAGACAATGCTGGGCGATCTGACTGATTGGTTTTAGGTCATTTGACAATTGGCGTCTATTCTTCGCTGTTGCCATTGTGTTTTTAGGTAAACCGTAATTTCGTGAGATGAACACCCCGAGTTCAACTTACATATATACATATATTTAATAATAGGATACCCAACAGCTCTATATGACAAATCCACGTGTCAGATGATCCATAACGGAAAACTCAGAGAAGTTTTTAAGAGGAATACAGGAGTAAGACAAGGCTGCCTGCCTATTATCACTGATGATATTCCCAGTTGTGGTGGACTGGACTATGCGGAACATAGTGCGTGGGGAGTGAGAAGACAGGAATACACTGGGGATCGGTTAGAAGACTCGAGAAGATCTGGGTTTCGCGTGTGGATGATTTATGTTTAATGTCACACAAACTCGAAAAATTACAGGCAAATACTAACAAAGTGACAGGAGAGGTATGCGGCGAAAACAGGACTCCAGGTGAACATAGGGAGGTGAAGAAGATGACCGACCGACAACGACAACATACACCAATCACTATCAACGGAAGAAATTTGAAAGACGTTAATTCCTTCACTTATCTATGAAGCACCTTCTCAAATATGTTCAGCACTGATGAGGATGCCAAAACCAGAATCGGAAAGGCAAGTCAGACCCTTATCACTTTGAGGTCAGTTTAGAAATCTACACCCAGTATAAAGGAAAATTTCGGATTTTCATTGTGTGTTGACACAAAAGTTGAATCAGTTGTTCTACATAGTTTAGGAACTTGGCGCTTGCATCAAGAAAAGCATCCCCGAACGCCAGTAGCAGACCTTCATGAATAGCTGTCTTCACTAGCTCCATAGTGAAAATCAAATGACCAGAAAGAACTAACAACAAGAAACTCGGGGAACAGTTCGAACAAGAACCTACTGATCAATGAATAGTGTAAAGAAAATGGCGATGGATCGGATATGCTGAGGAAACCACCGAATGACATCGGACGCTAGGAACTCGATTGACTGGAACACGAATGGGTAACGACGATTTCGACCTGTGTCTAAGAGTGACATGCAGGAGATCGTGTGAGAAGGAGAAGATAAGGTACTCTGAGCAATCGTAGGGTCAGCTAAAAGAGGATCGTGGAGAATACGACAAAGTAGAGATGTTCCCTGGGAAACCAAGTGAACAATACTATAATAATATCATACAAGAATTACCTTTTATATAAATTTGAACACAGAAAGAATAAACATTGGATCCATTTTATATCGTCGTCTCTCAACAGCTGCGTACAACCCACAATCTTTAATAAATAAAAGTCAGCGTAAAATTTAACATACTTTTGTCCATCAACAAGCATATGATAAGAGCGTCATAGGTGAGATTAAACAGCAGGATGATAAGGTGGCTGAAGTATTACAATGTAAATATGTGCACATATATCTTGTTAGAGAGAAGTTTCTCAAAAATTAATTGACAAGCTTGTTTTAGGGTGGTAGCAAAAAATTTGGTAACATTTGCGTAGTTTGATAAAAGAAGATAGAAATTTGGTGTGCAAGAGGTCAAATGAAAAGATGATGATGTAATATCGTGAGTGAAACTCATTAGGTCAAGAAAAATTATCTCTTATGATAATCAAACAGAAAAAAGAGGGGTTGGAAGGATAAGTTAGTGGAATTAGAAGACAAAGAGTTTTTACGGGATGATTCACCAGAGTAACTGGAGTCCAACAACAGATTCCTTTTGGACATATAGGTCAGGTTTCAGCCATTTTGTTGCAATAGCCTCAGTCAAATAAATCTTCTAGAAACTAGCCTCTAACAAAACATATGCATACATATATGCCTATATTTCAGCTACCTTGTCATCCTGATGTTTTATCTCACCATGACACTTTTATAATATGCTTGTTGACAGAGAAAAGCACGTTGAAATTTAACACTGACTTTTATTTATTAAAGAGTATAGGTTGCATGCAGCTGATGAGGATCGACGAGATAAAGTGGATTCATGTTATTCTGCTACACCAATATGTGTTCTTTCTCTGCACAAATAATACCCAAAAGGTTAGGAAAGAACACAGAATCCTCATATAAACAATTCAGTGCAGCATCAAATCATCACTGTCATACTTAGTCTATCACTGTATAAACTGACTAGCATTGAGTAAATACATTCTCTAACCTGAGCCGCCTACACAGACGCACAAACACACCGATTCGGAATATTTCATTCAACTTGTTCAGTGGAATACGATGAAATTTCAATGCAGATTTCATCGATAACCAAAGTGTGCTAGACAATTATTGAAAACCAAAGAGCACTAACTAGACAGCTGTTCACTCGGTCGTAATTTGGGACCTTGAAAGGATCGATCTCAAGACCTTTAGAATTCACAGGCCACAAACGCTAGTTTGGAAATTTCATACTTATTATATCTCCTAACTTGAATGATTGAGTTGTACAGTCTTTACTGTTATTCTGAGTTGTATCATTAACGTAAAATTTGAAAAGAAGGCCGTTATATACGTTATATACTATTGATTGATTGACATGAGTAGGTGAATACCACTCACATTGAGTAGTGTAGTGCTTGGGGTAATCAGATTGTTTCGCTTGTTTGGTTTCGGGTTCATATCAACGGTGTATCTGGTATGACTCGGCTCTGACAGCCGGATCGAACTATTTGCAATCAATAGTGTTCTCTGAGCCGGTCGGTTTAGTTGCGGAGCTTTCGTCGTCCTTCTGGACAACATTCCCCTTCAGCACAAGTTTTAGCATAAAGTGAAATGATTTAAATTGCTTCATGAGTGATATAATTGCGTCTCCCGGTAACCATCTTTACATATGTATTGACCATTTTCTATTGATTTGGATTTTAAACTTTCTGGTCACCTGATTTACTTTTTATTAAGTTGGTATATTTCGTCTATACTGCCGTGTTTGTTAATTGCATTTTCGTTTGAGTACCAAGCTTCTAGGAATTGCCTGCCACATTTGGTGTTTGAACTATGTAACTTGTAAGTGGCAAATTTGATCCGAAGTTGGATTATGTCTAGACTCCAACGCTACTTATTTGACTTGAAATCGTTATTAATTGTAGAGGCGAAGTAGAGGTATGCCTGGGCATTACTCAAACAGGTAATTGTTTCACTTTTTTAGAGAATTCCAACAGCTCACTTCTCTGCTAAATTCAAGATGACTATCTTGTACAGAAGGATAATGTATAATTTACGAGAGAAATCAACTAGACTAGAGAAAACATCAACCTTTAAGAAGACCTCTCCATGTAGAGAGATCTTCTGCGTCTTACGAAAAAGCTAATTTTCACCACACACACACACATTTTTAAATCCCTTACGTTCCCAGTGAAACATAGGATGGCTTCAAGCTAGAGGCTTGAAGTTTCAGTAACAGTGGTGTTTATTTTTATGGGATGGGTTACTAGTCTTATACCAAGCCTGACCTTCCCTCTTTACCAGTCGTATTACTTACTAGTTTAGCAAGGTAAAAGAGTGCATCAGTGGCCGCGGATCGAATCCCGGACCACATGAGGCATGGTTGGCGAGCATTCTACTGCTGTACCACCGATGCCACACACACATACACTAAATGACGAAATCAACACTTACCTCATCAATTTTAAGACATTCTTCATGAAAAGATGCTGGACAACTTTCACAGCATATAATACGTCCACCCTTAGAACAGATAAAGCACCAAGAGACATTAGTTGGCTTAAACATTTTCAACAGTGCAGCTGGCGGTAATTCCAGTTGGATATTAGGCGGTGCACAGTAGAGTTTACATTCATCTTCTAAAGAATGACGTGGACAGATAATTAAGTTAGGTGCCACCTGTAAAGCAGACAAAACATTAATTATATATACAAAAACAGAGTGATACAGTGGAGTTGATGATTTGTAAATATATACATGCCATACACATCAGTCGCATATCATCCAATGCATTCATACAAAAACAAACATAAAAAACAGCTACTCAGCATTTCTTTACATGTGACAATAGACAAATTGTATGTTTCTTGACGTTTAGCTGTCTGAGGACTATAAAAATCAATCACATTATTGTGTGTTTGACATTATTACAAAAAAAACCTTCGCAAATAAACCATCCAGCTGACAGAATACAACTACAACAAAATACATTCATATACTTGCTGTCTGAATCTCGATTATCCCAATAATATAAGATTATTAACTGCAATCCATGAGTATTTCTTCTTTGATTCTGAACATAAGTTTAAGTTAGTACTAATTCAGGAAAAATAACGTCTTAATTCAATTATAAAAAATAGTAGATCTCGAGAAGTCGAAATCAGAAGAAATGAACACCATAGAGCCGCATCTGTTCGACCACCGAGAAATCCAGTTGAACTAGAAAAGCTTCAAAAATCATCAGCCAGCCATAGGTGGTGGTCTACACGCTATAGAATCAGGCCACAAAATAATTGATTTTGACAATATTGAAATCATCATCCAGAAAAAGCATTTCAGAAATCACAAAGAACGAACGTCTAAATATCAGCAGAAGCACTTCTTTCCTATCAAGTGGAATCCAAATTGTCTGAGCTGAATAGGAATGATGGACTAAAACAGAATTTGACCTGGTTACAACACCCGCCTCCTCCTCCCATGAAGTGACAAAATCAACACGAATGTGACTGATAAGCAATTTCATTATGTAAAAACACACGCTACTTTTATAATTTTGCACACTTATCAAATCCAACAATCTGTACATGGTGGTTTTGTTATATTTACCAATTGGCCAATTTGACAACAACGCAAAAATGACCCCATACTGAGGAAAGATGACTAAGTTGTCATATATAAATAAACTGAGTGGATTGTGTGAATTCTGGTTTAATATTACTGCTTTCACAAAGCTATTAGCAGCAGCATTAAATAGCGAAACGTCAGTAAACACAACAATATCGTTTTATTTTTCATTCATTCATTGGGAAATACAAGAAAACCTTTATTATAAATAATAGTACAATAACTTTAACGTTACTGTAGAATCTGGGCATTGTAGTAGCAAGTAATTCCATACTAGATAAGTTCATACAAAATGACGCATAGTGATGCAGTAATAATATAACCGGATGATAAGGTTTCCAGCATAAATTATTGTTACTCATAATAATCATATCGATTGAGTAGTTACACAGCTTCATGATTTGCTTTATATATACACTTCTCTCTCTATCTTTTCCTCGTGTTGTTTGTTACCACTTTCCATACCTCCGGTAAAGGCGGCGTTGCATCATTCCGATTGCAAGTGTGCGCTATTGACACGATGAACAGTGATTCAGTGATTAACCTCTCTCACTCCACCTAACTATATTAATTTTTCGTACTCTCATCCTGTCCCACCCAACCTATTTTGTGATTTATTTATTGTATTTATTGTTCCCTTGGGTTCCTAGTGGAACATAGGGCTTCAACTACACGTCTCCACTTGCTTCTGTCTTCTGCTGTACTTTTCACTTGCATCCATGTTATTCCATACTGTTTCAACTCTTCTTCACACGATGTCCACCATGTCACCCTTGGACGTCCCAATCGCCACCTACCTTTCGGGTTCCACTCGAGCGATGGCCTGACGCGCGATGTCACTCAGCAACCTCCTCAGCGAGTGTCCAATCTATCTCCACTTTCTCCTGAATATTTGTCGAGCGATTGGTTCTTGTTTTGTTTGTTTCCATAGCTTCTTGTTGGTGATTCTTTCCGACCATCTGATCTTCAGTATAGAGCGAAGACAGCTGTTGATAAAGGTCTGCAACAGGCTGTTGGAAACATTCTTTGTGAGCCGCCAAATTTCTGATCCGTATAGCAAAACTGACTTGACGTTTGTATTGAAAATCCGAATTTTGTTGTTGATGCTGAGTGACGAAGATTTCTAGATTGGTTTCAGGTTGATGGATGTGTTTCTCGCCTTCCCGATTCTCGATTTGACATCCTCGTCCGTTCCTCCTGTAGTTGAGACAATGCTCCCTATATAAGTGAATGAAGTGACCTCTTTCAAATCCCTCAAGTTGATGGTGACATTTTGTGATTACAAGTAAGTAAATGCAATGCAGTGCAATGGCTGAGCTCTGTTTTTTTTTCGGCTAGGTTATTTAACATAGAGGGGTCAATAATCGAATTGACCCCGATCTACTAGTTTGACTAGCCTATGCAATTGACCTCACAGTCATTGCAGCAGCATGGTATTCTTAATTAGATCTATTGGGTTTACCTCTGAAAGAGTTGGTTAATTGGACCAAAATGCCACCCTAACTAATTCCAGCCTCATTGAGCATCCTACGTTAGGCCTCTGATGTTCCCTCTTTATACTCCAGGACTACAGAGGTTTTGAATTCGATAATATTTCTGTCATTTTCATTTTTTTCTATTATTCTTCATACATTTCTGAAGAAAATTCTGATGGGTAGTTATTCGCTAGTTTTTATATTTTCCTTATTTTCGTTTGATTTCACTATTTAAATCTTCTAACTTACACTAGATAGTGATAGAACATGTTGACCACTTCACCTATTTGGGAAGTTGTATCAGCACCAACGGATTGATTGGTGACGAAATCTCAGCACGGATCCAAAAATCTCGACCTGCTTTCGTTAACTTACACCATCTCTGGCGTAGGCGTGACATCCGGCTATCAACCAAGGGACGTGTGTACTGCTCAGCAGTTCGCTCCATCCTTCTCTATGGCTGTGAAACATGGCCAATACGAGTTGAAGACATGAAAAGGTTGACTGTTTTTTATCATACATGTCTACGATCTCTTTCTCACGTTAGGTGGCATGATAAGGTAAGTAATGTTGACGTTAGGCGTAGAGTGTTGGGCAAAGAGGGAAAATCAATCGAAGAGGCTATAAAGTTACATAGATTGAGATGGCTAGGTCACGTGCTGCGCATGCCTCACCATCGCCTCTCCCGACGGGCATTACTAGCTGATATAGGTGCAGGTTGGAAAAGAGTAAGCGATGGCCAAACAAAACATAGCATCAATCCATGAAATCCTTGACAGTTAAACTGAGTCACGTAGGGAGATGCAGACTTCCGGGTCGGGGCCCTCGGGACTCTAAGAATCACTGGCTGGAGACAATAGGTGACATGGCTCAAAATCGTTGTCAATGCTGCAGATGTTTTCAGTCTCTATAATCTTTCATATTCCTTTCTACCATTACTCATTCTATTTCACTCTTATACTTGTCAAAACTCTATTGATTCTCTTCACTCATCTTCTTGTCTACCTTTGTGTGCTATTTGGAACGTGGCAACTAGAACTGCTGCACTTCGGTGCCAAGTTCTACGTGGAGTACAGACATACAGACAAACAGAGGTAGTCTCCTGACCCAGATTATGCAGACACATTTAACTAATACCTATCTTCACCGATTTCCCACGTGTCGGTTTCCTATAAATAAATAAATGAAGAACACCTTATCATGATCGCAAGACTGAGTTTCAATCTAGAACTTTGCACAGAAAAGTACAGCAGTTCAAATCGACTCAATCCATGTAGGACACAGAAAGAGAAAAAGAACTATAATGAAAAAAACTGTAAAGGAGATGACAAACAGTGGATGCGTCTGCATCGTTGATAACAATTTGAAGCTATGTCACACGAATAGATTCAAATTATTGGTTCTTAGTCTCTCCCACTCTCTTTCTCGATGTCATCACAACCAGGTAATCTACAACACCACCACCTCCACATTGACTTCAACAAACCATCAAAGACTTCCATAGGGTCAGGCTGGAAAAGAGCTAGCGGTGGTCAAACCAAAACATGGCTTCATCAGTCAATGAAATCTACAACAGTTAGTTTAAGCCAGCCAGCCACGTAGGGAAGTGCAGACTTCTTGACTGGTTGGGATCCTCAGGACGGTAGAAACCAATGAAGGCTGAAGACAATCGGTGATATGGCTCAAAATCTTTGTTCTCAATGACGGCGCAGATGCATCCACTCCTTGTGACTTATGATTTCCAATGAAACTACATTATTCTTTGTTATTACTATTCATTTTGTTTCATATCCCTGTCTACTGTCTCTACTTTACATTTCTTCTACTTTCTTCTCTTGCTTTGTGTACTAAATGGAGGGAGAGTGGCGACTTGAACTGCTACACATCGGTGCAAAGTTCTCTGTTGAAATCAGACAAACAGACAGACAGACAGACAGACATGAGTTAACGTCAGCTTTTGGTTTGATCACCACTGACCGATTTCCCAACCTAATTCAATGTCGGGCTAACACTGCTCGTTGGGAAAGGTGATGCCTTGGCATACAGAATACATGCCGTAATCATGTCAATCAGGTCACCTTCACAACCTCATCGATTGAATTAATCTTTTAAAACCCTTAAAAGCACCAATATTACGCATCACAATATACCAAATTAAAACGGGAGATGTAAGGCAAACACACATATGTGATCAAAGACAATTAGCCTTCTCATCGCATCTTCCACTCCAAATAACTACATCTGGTATCCAACGCTTGAACAAACATTCATACTTTTGACTCAAAGTAAGTCACAGTGGAATCTGTCTGTCTGTCTGGATTCAACATAGAACTTGGCACCGAAGTGCAGCAGTTCTAGTTGCCACGTTCCAAATAGCACACAAAGGTAGACAAGAAGATGAGTGAAGAGAATCAATAGAGTTTTGACAAGTATAAGAGTGAAATAGAATGAGTAATGGTAGAAAGGAATATGAAAGATTATAGAGACTGAAAACATCTGCAGCATTGACAACGATTTTGAGCCATGTCACCTATTGTCTCCAGCCAGTGATTCTTAGAGTCCCGAGGGCCCCGACCCGGAAGTCTGCACCTCACAGTGGAATCTAATATGCGAATTTTATCGTCTTCTGGACTCGGCAGTCTAATGTTAACACAGATCGATAGTTTCGTTTCAACACTAGTCAACTAATCGATGGAAAGTGCAAATTAACCTGGAAATGAAAATTCATACTGACACTACTTAAGATGGGGAATTTTTTGACAGATTTACAATGATGGTGTCAAAAGAACAAAAGCAGTTTTTAAAGGATTGATCACGAGCTTAAATTCGTTAGAGAACCATTTGGGAAACCAGCCGGGAGTACTGGACAGCCTGCTGTTCCATCTCAGTTTGGGACTCTCAAACAGTACCCGACCACCCGCCGGAATTCAAACCTAGGACTATTCGGTTGCAAGGCAAGCGCATAGACCATTTTCAACCACTGGGATTCGACCTAATGATCCATGAATTTCGAACTTCTGCTAATTTATGATATATGTGCCCAGCGCGACTGCCAGTCAATGTCACAGGCAACTAACTTGTCCTCTTGCCCCCCCCCCCTCTGATTACGACTTCCTGTATAGGACAAGTCGCTTGTGTAAGCATCAGATTAACTATCAGGTGTTGATTTGCAGCGATTAGATTGGGTTACACGACTGATCACAATGGTTCTCTCTCTCTATCTGATGTCAGATCATGATCAATCATCCTGTTACTAAGCTAATCCCAACACTTGATAATTTAAGCACTTCACTTAAGTTTTATGATTAATAAAAGTGACAAAATTTAAAATACGGTCACTATTTGATTTTGATTTCCTACCGACATCTTTGACCAGACTGTTCAACCTTTTCCCTCCCGCTCTGTCTTCACCAAGGAACATAAATATTTGCTAGACTGATTTGATGTTTTCATTAGATGGGGATTGAGATGTGAGAAGTGAAAGCCAAAATCCCAACAAGTTGAACAAGGAGTCGATAACCCTTACTTAACCAGTGATTCTGAACAAACAACTTAGGTCAACAAAAACTTGTTAATATTGATCACAAATTGATTTCAGTTGGAGAAGCATAGAAAGCCAGTAGAGAGTACTGTACTGGGCAGTTATTTCATCCTCTTTCTTTGGAATTCTTTAGTGATAGGCGCAGCCGTGATCCCACCAGGGATCGAGGTTGTATACCATTCAAAATCCAATGGCTCATCGCATTCTAACACATCTACCCATTCACTAGAATATCGCACGACCACTAGCCAATATCATCGTTGACTATCTCTGTCGTCATACCTGACTCGATAGAGATAAACCCCACGGGGAACTCAGGCAACTCTTCATCCCGTAGTCAGTCAGTCAGACACTAGTCAGCTGAAGTCAATTCGTGATTTCACTTGAAATCAATCGAATTCCTGCAAACCGACACTTGAAAGACAAAAATGTGTCGTCCGTGTAGTAGAGATAAGATGTACATCAAATGATTCCATTATTGCATACATGGTTGCAGGAACTATACAGTCACGTCTAATACACACACTGAATTCATCCTCCCCCTCCCTAGCAGGAATTAGGGCGGCATTCAAACCTACAAACTCACTCAGGTAGGACAAGCTCTGTAGGCTAAAAGACCCGGTGAACCCAATTAAACAAAATAATATAATTTACAAAATACCTTGTAATGACTGTGACTAAGGTCAACTATATAGGTTAAACTAGTAGATCGGGGGTAATCAGATTGTCAGAACGTAAGAATTTAGCTAAGATAAAAGTGGCTAACCCCGAGAAGATAAGTAATTTAGAAAAAAGCTCAGCACTACATTGCACTGCATTAACACACAACCACACAATAGGGTGGGAGAGGGTTAAGATTCTAAGAAGTAATTTATTTTGGTGGAGAGGGAGAGTGATTACTGAATCCTGGTTTATTGAGTCTACCTACACCCAACACATGCAACAAAAATGACTCAATGCAAATACCATAAATATGGAAGATATTATTACCACCAGTCAGTCAAATCAGAGGAGGATAATAAACAATCTCAAAATTCTATTTCAATTCAAGCACATCACAACATTCTGACAAGTTACTTATTATGACTATAAAAAACACTCTTATTTCCCATCTGATTGTTATTGATCAATAACACTCGTACTATTATTTTCGAATGTACATTATCCCGTATTGATTCTTATTCAAATATCTAGTCAATTCCACACATGTATATAAATGAAGGAAAAAAGTTGTGCAAGTGACTCAATATGATTATGAGTGGCAATTAATTGTGCTGGAAACGTAGTCATCAGTTAATATTACTGTATAACAAACACTGTGTGATTTATCAAAATAAAATCTTACCCATAACGGGGAGTTATACTCTACCAGCACAGTGCCCAAGTGTTTTATACTTATAACATGAATTAGGTAGTAAATCAACCCAAAATGACTTGAATAATGTAAAAAAAACTTAAAACAAATGCGACAATATGACAAAATCACCTACTTCTTTACTACCAGCCGGTAGACACCATTCGCCTGGATGATAAGCGGCGGGGCACATAACACAACGAATAAAATGTGCAGATGGACGAGGCATTGTCCCAGGTGTTTCAGCTGTACACGCTAAACATGTATGCGCAGGACACGAGAATGCACCGGTACGTCGTTCACGAACAACAATTGCAAAAGGAGGCTTACGCAGGCAGCTAGGATGAAACCATCGTCGACACGAACGAACTGAACAGCGTATCAATTGATGATCAGATTTATTCGATTCTAATACTGGCTGGATGTCTTTCTGATGGTGATGATGATAAGCAGTTTCAGTAGGAGTAGCAGCAGCAGTTGTAGTATCCTCTTCCATTTTAATTGTTATTTCAGAGATGCCTTTATCAACGACTACAGGTGGTTCGGAATTGCCATTAGAGGTTTGAAGGTGAGTCAAACTGGGGTCAGGATGAGTTAGCTACAACAATGATATCAAATTTTTTTTAAAGGTACAGAAAATCATAACAGTTAGTGCATTAATAAACCAAGAATAAACACAAGAAACGAAAACCAGGATATGGTTAAAGAATTATATTCAATCTTATACCACTTATCAGATGTTAAAACACACACACACACACTAAAACGCTTTTCAAAAATATATTACTCCATAGTCTTGTAGTGCACTAGGATTTTAAAGGCTGAATTGAGTTCATTTCTAATGCTTTTTTCGGAATATTAACGTATTATATACTGTAGAACACTAAACAGTTATAATCCTCACTTTGAGCTATAAATCCTTACCACTGATCCAAACGACCTGACACCAACATGGATTTGTTTCGCCTTAATGTGTTTCACATAACCTTGAACTCAACTCAATTACTCAGGACAGTTCTTTCATATGTAACACACCAAAAGCCATACTTTCGCGTGTGAACTGATAGTACTACTTCAGTTGACTAGCCTAAAGAAGGTGGAGTTGGACTCGAACACGTGAACTTTCAGCGGAGTAATTAAGACAATTTAGGCACATCTCCAAAGATTTTTGAAGCTCTATCACATACTGACTGACTGACTGAGTGGTTTCAACATAGAAATTTGCACCGACGTGCAGCACTTCGATTCGCCACACTCCCTCCTTCTGGTAGCATACAAAGCGAGAGAAGACAATAAACAGAAGTGTGAATGAGGGAAAAAGAATAGTAATGTGGAGGAACAACAGAGTTTTATCGCATATGATAAATCACAAAGAGTGAATGCATCTGCACCAGTCATTGAGAATGAGGATTTTGAGCCATATCACCAATTGCCTCCAGCCACCATTGGTTCTTACCATCCCGTGGACCCCAACCAGTCAAGAAGTCTATACCTTACGTGACTTTAACTAGGTGTTATGATTTTATTGACTGATGAAGGCAATCGAATCCTACGTCAGCTAATATTGCCCGTCGAGGAAGGCGATGGCTAAGCATATATAACACATGTCTTAGCCATCTGAATCGATGTAGTTTCACAGCCTTGTGCCTAAAGACTAAATTCTTTTGTAAAAGTCTTATTACAACACATTATTATACTTAAAATGAAGAGACGATCATTTTTGCATTTATTATCCCAAGTCTCCAGTATAACCAGAGTTCCAGCTAGCCAAGCTGATTATATGACTGCCGAATGCAAGTCAAGCTATCAGTCGAATGTATGAGCAATGAAACTTATCATATCCAGTCTAAAAGAAAAATCCTCTGAAACTGAGTTATAATCTAACGTGGAAAGTTTCGTTCATCTTACAGAATGACTCAACCTAAACACCTCTACCAATGATGAACTGCGAATACACCTGAGCATCGAAACATATCTAGCATATTCAAGTGTTGGTTTACAGAGATTTGACTGTTTACAGGATCTCATCATGAGCTGAAATCGGTTAGAAAACCATTGGAAAACCAGTAGGAAGTACTGAACAGCCAGTTGTTTCGACCTAGCTCGGGACAAAATGCAGAGTCTACTGAACACCTTGAGCAACAATCTTCGCATGTTTGGCATGCGATTCGCCCCTGTAAAATGTAAGATGATGCTGCAGGATTGGACTTCACCGACCCCTAGATTAGAAATAGGAAGTGAAGTGGTAGAGCACGTTGACCACTTCACTTACTTGGGAAGTACCATCAACCCCAACAGGTTGATCTCCGACGAAATCTCAGCGCGAATACAGAGAGCTAGGTCCGCATATGCCAGTTTACGCCGTCTCTAGCGTAGACGCGATATCCGACTATCGACCAAAGGGCATGTGTACTGCTCAACAGTCCGCTTCGTCCTCCTTAATGGCTGTGAGACCTGGCCATTGAGAGCAGAAGACATGAAAAGATTAGCTGTCTTCGATCATAGGTGTCTGCGTTCTATCTCCCGTGTGAAGTGGTATAATAAGGTGAGCAATATTGAGGTTAGGCGTCGAGTGCTAGGTAAGGAGGGGAAATCAATCGACGAGGCTGTTAAGCTACATCGACTGAGATGGTTAGGACATGTGTTACGTATGCCTAATCATCGCCTTCCTCGACGGGCAATGTTGGCTGATACAGGACCAGGCTGGAAAAGAGCTAGCGGTGGTCAAACCAAAACATGGCACTAGTCAATGAAATCCACAACAGTTGGTCTAAGCCACATAGGAAGATGTAGACTTCCTGGTTGGGGTCCTCGGGATGGTAAAAACCAATGGTTGGAAACAGTTGGTGACATGGCTCAAAATCGTTCTCAGTGGCGCAGATGCATCCACTCCTTGTGACTTATGATTTCCAATGAAACTGCCTTGTTGTCCGTTATTACTATTCCTTTGTCTCACACCTCTGTTTACTGTCTATATTATGCATTTCTACTTTCTTCCCTTGCTTTGTGTGCTACATGGAGTGTGGCGACTTGAACTGCCGTACGTATGTGCAAAGTTCTATATCGAATGCCGACCGACCGAGTTCGGGACTCTTCAGGAGTACACACCCGCCGGGGTGAATTGGCGGAAGTTGGGATTCATGGACCACTGGATCGGGTCCCAGTGGTTTAATGGTCTACAACCTTGCCTGTCCAATATTCCCCGGTTTTCCAATGGTTCTCTAAGCAGTATCAGCTCATGATGAAAACCTGTGACATCCAGCATACTTCTGAGTATCCGAAAATTGGCTTTGACAAAAAAAATGAAAGGTGTATAAAAAGGAATATATATGAACCAAAACAAAGTAAAAAGAGGAAATAGAAACTCACATAACAAATGAAGCATTGTCTTAGTCCAGCTAAGCACAAACTACACACTGGATTAGGTTGTACTGAGGATTCAGTATACCCTGCATTTGTCATTGGTATGTCTTTCCCACCACCACAACCACCCCCATCATCTGTACCATTATTTTCACAAATTTTATGCTTTATAATCCTATAAAATATATGCGGAGCACAATATAAGTGTAGATAATTCCCACAGCCACCAGCACATGGCATAACTACTGTATTCTCCACCCTGTCAGATTGTGTTGATTGACTACAGGTTTTCTGTGAATCGAAACCAGTGTTCATATCTGGTGTGAGTGGTTGCAGGCCAACAGTATTCCGTGGATTTGACTGACTACTACTATTCGTGGTAGTAGTAGCGTTATTATTACCAGCACTCCATGCTGGATGGTATTCACCACAAACACAACATAAAAAGTAATGCTTCGGTGTTGTATAACCAAAGCGTAGTTTTTCAAATTCAAAAGAATTCGCCAAATCTATCCAACGGAGGCCAGTTTTTCTATCATTCTATAAGTATAAATAAGCAGAGAAAATTATCAGTATTAAAACAAAACCACTTCAAATAGTATACAACAGCTATATACTACTGATAGATTGAGATGAGTAGTATCATTACATCAATCAGTAGTAGTGTTTGCTACCCAGACCCAGTCAGTCAGTTCGATTATCGAAGTGATGTAAGCACTGCTGGACGGTCGTTTCGCTCATATATATCTATTTCATTTACTTCACCGCAATCTTTTTCGTTACCTCTTCCAACACGCTTTCACTTCTTTCACACACACACACATGTCACCCTCGGATGAATACCCAACATCGTTACTGTCCATTTGGATTCTAATCGTGGGGCTGGAGCGCGACATTATTCAACGGTTTCCTCATTGTATTTTTGACCCATCTTGATTCCCTTCTGCATATTTCTTGGGTGATTCATTGCCAGAGTTAATTGTCACCGCTTATCCTTTTTTTGTGGCCGGTGGCATCCAATTTTTTGGTACTGCGGTCAGTGAAGACCGCAGATGGAAATGGACTTGATGAAAAGTACACCAAATCTGTAAATCGTGTATAGAAGCAATGACTTGACATTAATTAATGTTTAAAATCTGAATATTGCTGCTTATGTCGAGTGCAGTCGATTTCCACAGTGGATTTCAGAATAATGTAGGTCTGTCTGTCTGGCTTTTCGCATTCTACCTTTGACATTCTCAACTGTGTTGCTTGCGTTTGATGTTGTTTTTGTTGGTATTGCTGTTGGTTAGGTATTTTCCTTATCTTCATCTTCTCTAGGCCCACTTGATTATTATTACTGTTCCCCTGGGTTCGAGTGGAGCATAGGGCTTCAAAGGCACATTTCCACTTTGTTTTGTTTTCTGTGATCCCCCGTAGCTGGCCCCACGATTGCCCATAATCTCTGATCTTCTCCATGTCAGCCTCGGACATACATCCAACCCGTCTTTTTCAATTCGGGTTCCACTCAAGCAAGGGTCAGAGTGGAGCACTATGTAATTTGACGGTTCCCCCAGAACGTTCCCAATCCATCTCCATTTTCTACGGGATATTTGTCGAGCAATAGTTTCCTAGTTGATTTGTTCCCATTGTTTCTTATTGCTAATTCTTTCTGGCCATTAGATATCCAATATGGAGCCAGCGAAGGGGATAGCTGTTGGTTGATGAAAGTCCGCAACTGGCTGTTGGAAATGCTTTCCGTGACATGGGGGGTCAAGTTTCTGACCAATATACAAGAACTGACTGACTTGACACACCGGTGTGTTGAAAATCCGAATTATGTTCACTATACTGAATGAGGAAGATCTCCAAACTAAATTTAGAGTGATGAAGGCCTGTCTTAACTTAAGGATTCTGGCTGTTTTTGACATCTTCATCGATGGTTCATTCGAAGTCCTGAAAATAATATGCATACGAATAAAAACAGAAGATGAAACTGTAGAGAAATTTACTTTTAAAAGAATGAAAACCAGAAAAATAGTGTTGTTATTATCAGCTAACCTTGGAATCATCATTTGAGGGTTTTAATGGTTTTCGAGGTCCAAATGAACTGCCTGAAGTAGTCGACGAAGAGGCATGAGGACCTGGACCGTGTTTCCCTTTAGAATCAGCATCACTGTCAGAAGCAGGCGATTTTTCTGAATCTTCTGATGAAGAACTACTATCTTCCGAATAGGTACGCTTACGTGATTTACCTAATTATTATTTGGAAATGAAAAATAAAATATTTAAGATGGCTGCATTAATAAACGAAATTTTAAAACCATAAAATTTACAAGAGGTCGTGATCAATGGTGTCCACTCGGTTAGGAGTGAGGACAAGTACTCGCTAGAGATGACATTGGATGGGGTCAATAGCGCTAAAATCACGAATTCGTAGAAACTAGAACTCATGGGCCATTGAATCGGGTCGCAATGGCTAATTGGTCTGCGAGTTCGCCTTGTAGTCAGAGGGACCTGAGTTACAACCCCGTTGGGTGCGCACCGATGAAGAGTCTCGAACTGGGAAATAACAGCTGCCTAGCACTCTGTGGTTATCTCTGACTGATACCAATCCATGATCAGAATTTTGACACAAATCAAATCCCAACAGACAAACTATTGAAAATTCATAAAATAACCTTGCAACTGAAGCGTGTATGTCTATATACATGCTCATTCATAGAATATGAATTATCCCATGATAAGTCATTAAAAATACCACCCACTCAAAACGAAAAACACTAACGTTAACTTCAAATATCTCGGAGTTTCGAATTATGTAACAACAAAGACATTTTAATGTACCCTCAGCAACAGCAACAACCCGAATTTCCAGGCATTTCGCAACCTGTCATACATATTTTGTGTCTGTGTGTGTGTGGAAGGGGGGGCAGTTAGTAATACTACCTGACTGTCAAAACACTGTTAGGTAGAGCGGGCCTCAGAGCTGAGACTCAATGGCTAGAATCCAAGCACTTAAACTAAGGAGTCACAGTCCCATTAACAACATCTTTACATAGAATAAAAAAAAAAGCTAGCAAAACCATTGAATTAAATGTTGCTCGTTCATCAGATCACTATCAATCACTTCTAGGTAACGAGTGAAATGTTCACGACATGAAAACTTAACAAGTATCAAGAGAAAGAATAACCTCACCTAGTTTACCAGCCTAGGTAGTCTTAAGCTCAGAAAAGAGAGAGATGATTAAGTGTGGGGTCGTTAGTAAATCTTCATATATAAACTTGCTTTCCTACAGGATCGAGAAGACTCTTCAATTCAAGAACGGATGGATAATATTGGTATGTGTGTGTGTCAAAGCTTTCAGGGAGTCAGTCGGTCGATGTGTCTTCTTACAATAAAGGTTAAATTAAGCATAGAGAAATAGAATTTCCCATTATGTTCGAGGCTGCTTAGATTGTGGAAGAATATTACGAGATATAGCACAGAAGTGTTAGGGATCCGTGGGAGCAGACTGAGTGAAAGTGGACTCTCCAATTTGTTAACAAGAGAGTGAATAAACCACTCCAGTCACCTGGAAGACAATTACAAGCACACTGAAGATGTGGCTATCATCACTTTGTCACTAACAGCATTCAAAGCTCCCATTAGATGGGATGCAATCTTCTCCAGGATCATGACCATAAGATTCCATTCAATAGGGAGGAAAGTTACAACTATATAACAATACAGCACCTACAATCTACGCAGACCTAATGTTAAAGGAGGACTTCTACAGAAAACACAAAACAGTAATCAACAAGACGTCAGTCAGGTGACGTCATAATTCTGATGGGTCATATGAATACCAAATTTCAAAGTAGACAACTCAGAAAGACATCTAGCTTATCATGAGTCGAGAGGAATAGGAACAGACAACTCTTTGCAAACTTCTATGCGTTTAAGGATTTCATGATTGAAGGCAGGCGGCGTATACAACCAAAAGAATATACACAAGGTGACGTCCGTTTCACACCAGATGGACACACAAAAATTTGACAGACTTCATCTCAATCTCCAGAAAGTGGAGAGGCATCCTACTCGATAAAACATTTAGAAGACAAGCAGATATATAATAAGACCAAAACCTAGTGTCAGGAACATTCAGAATCAATTTGAAAGCCTTCAAAGAAGCTGAAGATAGACTAAGCACTCAAGTTTAACATTTAGAAACTGAAGGACGAAGCTAAGAAAAGACACCTTCGTAGCAGTCATTAGCAAAAAATCAGAGACAAGCTACATCAGTGAAAGCGTTATGTGCAGAAACCTGTATAAACATCTTAGGCAAGAAGTAGAGTCAAGACAAGAAATGGCTGATTAGAGAAAAGTGTAAGCTGATAAGTGTGAGGTGGACAGTGAAACAGAAGATGAACCAGTGCAGAAATGAACAGAGAAAGGAAAACTCAAGAATAATCTAAAGAGTACTCAAAAAAATCAATGAGGAAGAGTGCTAGCGAAGACATAAGGTGCTTCTAAGACACACTGAAAACTGAAGTAGAACAGGTTACAGTTAAAAGGGACCTCACAACGCCACACAAATAACCACGTAGCTCTCCAAGAAGAGATCAACACAGATGAAGCCAGTGAAAGATAATGAAGCAAACCCAATTTAGCAAATAAGTACGTGAAACAGATGAGACCTTGGATCGATTACTTTAAAGCAGGATCTGGAAAGCAAGACAAGCGTTCATTACTCAGCATTCAATACTAGGAACTATATCCGACTTTCATCATCAACAACTGCTTCCGATCAACATGGTGGGAAAGGATGAAAAACAAAGAGCTCAAGCAGACAGCAAATCTTACCATATATAAAGAACATCTCAGAAATCACTGCAAGACTATTCAAACCTTTAGGAATTAATATCGCCGCATATAAACCAACAAAATAACTGTACTCGGCTCTGTGTCAACCAAAAGACTCAACAGCGAAAGAACATACGACCAACATCATCTGCAAGGTAAATTGTAATGACTGCAAAAAACACTACATTGGTCAAAATGGACACTTTCTTCATCTTCACATCTTTAAACACAAACTAGTCGTCAGAAGACGTAATATTCACTCTCTCACATCACTGCATACAAACAACCATGGATATCAATTCAACTGGGACAACATTCGAATATTAGACAGGGGAAACACCAAGAGTATCGGGGAATTTTTGGGAGCCTGGTGTTTCAATCACTCGGCAAAATTACCAGGCACACTGAAATTAATAAAATTTACCAATCTATAAGAGGAAAATCTTATGCACAAAAAGTCAAAATTCAGGTCAGAGAAAAAATCAATACAAATACAAATAAAATAGACGGTATGAAGTCATGAATATTTGAACGATAAGGTTCAGCGAAAAGTCTCCTTTCGGCGAATTCATTCACGTAGCTGTACAATCGCATTTGTATAGTTATTTTATGTTTGTTTGTGTGTGTGTGTGTGTACATTAGGATTGTCAAACAAAAATAAGATAAAAATTAGTTAGGGTCACTGTTTACGTCATCAAAATGTTTTTTTAAAATGTGATGAATGGTCAAAATTGTAACTAGGGGGGGGGTGAAGATTGGTGAATATTGACAAGGGTTGCTTAATATGAAATACGATGTTAATTGAGACGTGACCAAAAACTTAATTACGTAATAGGTAGAAAGAGTAAATAAACATTATTAACAAAATCGTAGAACTTGGAATTATACCCAAGGTAGAAGGAGGGGGTGACAGACAAGAGCAACCAACCACGTTCAGGGTCACCAGGAGAGATGACTAATAAACTCGTGGAGAAATCTAAAAGCTCACTTCAACAAATTGAAGTATGCGCTGAAGATGTTGCTTAGAAGGAAAATGAAAGCTTCGCAAGTACACCACCCATCTCTGAGAACACAACTACATCAAAATCATCCACCTGAGCTACAAATCTTCTCCATTGTATTCAAGACATAGAATCAGCTAACAACTTATTACCCAACTAATGTGCGAAAAGAAATGAAGGTGAACTGAACGAACACTGAAAAAACCTTCAAGTGACATTACACAAGTTCAACTCTACAGTGTAACCCGAATGAGAAGCGACAGATTGGGTGTGAAGAGGAAATGAATGCCTTTGGGCAGCCGTAAGGCCATCTGGAGGTGATTGCAGATAGCGGAATGCAATTAAGATGTATTTTTGAAGCCTTATGTTCCAGTCAGAACGTAAAGAACGAACAATAGTAACAATAACAATAACAACAAAACCTCCAACTGCATTTGTAAATTTACGTGCACCTGCGGCAGCAAGTACATCGGAAGGACAGAAAGAAGGGCTTCTATCCGGTTTTCAGAGCATATTCCGAGAAACTTATGCTTAAAAGGAAGCAAATATTTACAAAGTGCAATTACCAGACACTTTGTTGAGATTTCCAAATCCTCCAAAATATTAAACATACAAAGGACAGGCGAATCTACTACGATTTACTGCTGAAGCAATCGCAATCAAACGTCTCAGACCAAACTTATGCACACAGAAAGAGAGTGTAGTCAATCTCTCACTCCCTTGGTAATCATATCACTTTCATTACACTGATTACTCATACACACTAGTGAGTTCAACTCACTAAGCAAGTTTTCAAATTGATGAACTTTGACCTTGTTGAGTTGCCATGTTGACACTGTTTATTAGATTTTTCTGTTTTCTGTCTTCTCTCACCCCCCCCCTCTTTCTTCCTTTTTTCATATTTTGTTAGTATATAAATTGATGGTAACTTAAACTACAAAAATTTTAATCCTTATATTCCGGATGCGTTTATCTTATAATGCTTTCTGTATTACCTTTCAAACAATGAAGTATGAAATGTTATTATTTATAACCATTGTACTTTCAGGTAGTTTGCAGCTGATGAGAACCTGTGAAATAGAATGATATCATTTTATACTGCAAATCTGGTCTTTCTTTCTCTATCGAAATAACAATAATAATCAGAAAAGGGATATATATCAAGAAAAACTAAAAAACCACTGAACAACAACTTACCAAACAATGTGTATTTTCCAGTATTCTTTCTAACATAATCAGCCAGTGGATCAAGTTTAAGAAACGCTGGATCAGTTATCCATGGGAACAATGCTAATCGACCAGCAGGCCGTGGTTTAGCCAACTTCGCCTCAGCTGCAGCCTCTCTAGCACGAAACCATGCTTCCTGTAGGCTTGGCGGAATAGCGAATTGACGTAGAGCCTAAAAGTTTAAAATAAATACTTGATTTATTAATCAAAATAGTGAATTTAGTGGGTGTCGGTGGCACAGCGGTGGAATGCTCGCCAAACACGCCTCATGTGGTCCGGGGTTCGATCCTCGGCCACCGATGCACTCCTTTACCCTCCTAAGCCAGTTATGAGACTGGTAAAGAGGGAAGGTTGGGTATGAGGCTAGCAATCTCCTCTGGTAAAAATAAACACCACTGCTACTGAAACTTCCAAGATTCAGCTTTAAGCCACCCTAAGTTCCACTGTGAACGTAAAGGTGATAGGATCCCACACACTTTGTTATTGTTCAATTATCTTAACGACTGTTAATCTCGTATAAGTTGTATATCATCAATTCTCACACACTTTGTTATTGTTCAATTATCTTAACGACTGTTAATCTCGTATAAGTTGTATATCATCAATTCTCACACACTTTGTTATTGTTCAATTATCTTAATGACTGTTAATCTCGTATAAGTTGTATATCATCAATTCTCACACACTTTGTTATTGTTCAATTATCTTAACGACTGTTAATCTCGTATAAGTTGTATATTATCATTTCTCACGCATATTGTTATTGTTCAATTATCTTAACGACTGTTAATCTCGTATATGTTGTATATCATCAATTCTCACACACTTTGCTATTGTCAATTATCTTAATGACTGTTAATCTCGCATATGTGTTATATTATCATTTCCCAGGCACTTTGTTATTGTTCAGTTATCTTAATGACTGTTAATCTCGCATATGTGGTATATCATCATTCCCACGCATTTTGTTATTGACTATTACGACCAATTATTTCAAATACTGTTAGCTGTCTCTATTGGTTATAAAATTGTATAAATACCATTTCCTAAATAAGTTATTTGTCGTCGTCGTCGTCGTCGCAGTTGTTGTACTACAATATAAAGTCAGAGACCAGACTTTGTCTTTTGGTATTTGCGTGGTTCGCTGAATCGGAAGGTACCAGAAGCAGATAGGCATATTAGTCAGGCGCAGACAGAACAAGGCGACAACGTCATCACTTAATCCCCCTACAGTTACAACAAATTGGCGACGGGGTTTTACCTTAATCCATTGCAGTTACAACAAAAGGAATAGAGAAAAACGGAAATTTACTCAATTTTATCTCTTGACAGCATTCTCATGATCTCATATGTCACAAGATGTGACTCCCCTTGACTGAAGCACTCAGAGTTCTCAGTCAGGTACAGATCTAGATACACAAAAGATTTCTCTCCAGGCAACTGGGTTCTAATAAGAGACAACTTGACATGTGACAGAATAGCATACAAGCTGATGTTCCGATGAATAACTACTTTTACCATGTAAAAATGATCCCAATATCAAGAATCTAGTTCAATCAATCGACAAATAAAAGAGCAGATTTCTGTTGATGCTTCTGTTCTAGTGTTCAACCTACTGTGCTTGTACCTGATTTTCCTGCTCCCATAGAATAATTATTTTCCAGGTTTTAATGAAAAGGATGCATTAACAGCTTGTCTCAAATCCTTACGCCTACCACACAGACCTAGGTCCTAATGCAGTACCAAAGAAATAAAGATCGTAGCTGTAAGAATATCATGATCCGGATCAGGTGTAAAAGATTAGGCAAATCGCAAGCATTAAATTTGTGAATGGTGACTAGCAGTGGAATCCACCAGGATGCGAACTTCGTCCTATTTGGGACTCGTCACTGGGTGTACCTGCATTTCTCAGTGAGTGATAATGTTCCCACCGATGCTCGAACCCAGTGCCCATAGTTTCAAACGCCGAAGCGTTACCCACTAGACCACTTGGGCCACGAGAGCCAACTCCTGTGCAACGGGTCATATTATTTATTTAATTGAATTTTGGATTTTCCCGTCGATTGATTGGACCGAAGTGCTCGGTCTCAGGTTGACATGTCGGCTTCTTTTGTAGATGCTTCAACGATGTCTGGGCATTTAATTAGAATTTAATTTGTGGACGTGACTAGCAGTGGAATCTAGGATGCACATGTCAACCTGAGACCGAGCACTTCGGTATAATCAATCGACGGGAAAATCTAAAATTCAATTAAATCACAAGCATGTCTGCAATTTTCAAAACTATGCTTGCTTCTTAATCCTATTTAGAATCTCTCAGTGACCCCAAGAAACCTGCTTACAAATGAAGTAGGAACACTCATCGTACTGTGCCACAAAATATAGTTTCCAGTCTAGATAAAGGTGCAAGGTTTATCCCCATCTGCTGCTCTTCATTCTACTCCTCCTAGGGCACTTTTACCAAGCAGTCTGACTTCAACATGTGCTGGGTCTTGGGTCACAAGATGGTTACCTTTCTATTTTTCAGATGGGAAACAGTACACCATTTTTTAGCGGGGAAAAGCGCTCCACTTCTTTGCTTACAGGAATTGGTGTGCTTCAAGACGCTGTACTCTATCCATCCTTTTTTCCCCTCTCTGTTTTGCATGTCTTACCCTATTCGTTTAGAGCTAATTTCGTAAAATATGCCAATGATCTAACAATTTCTATTCCAGTCGTTTCTGCACTACATTGTTCACGTATGAATAATTTCCCACCTGAGGTTAACCAATGATCTCAGTTATATGGTCTTCAACTGAAATACCGCTGAATTTCAAACTGTTAATTTTATTTTTAGACGTGAACAAAAAATTTGAGTGGACTTATCCTGTCCCATGACTCTTGTAATATCAACGACACTATTGATATTAAGCAAATTAAATATTACCTAATCTTATCTTGGTACCACTTCCTCTTCAAATCTTCGTTGATCCCCTCATCCTACATCTTGTTGATTTCCAAGGAAGATATCTTTCGTTTGAGTTATTGTACAATGGAAGTTGAGACTCTCGGGTATAACTTAACCTCCCTTCTTATTGTTGACTAGTTCATGTACTCTACACATAATTCTTTAATTGTCATCCCTTATTATTATTATTATTCCCTGGACCAACATTGTAATCCATGACACATTTTGTTGGAAGTCGGGGAGTCTAAAAGCAGTAACTGGACTTGCTTAACTTATTTTGCCTACTTAAAAGCTCTGGCAGTAACGAAGCACACCATCTCAATATAACAACAATAAGAATAATTTACGACATTTACGAGAAAAAACAAAGATAATAATAACCTTCAAATTACCCGCAGTTTGTTTTTTGCTTCCATAACAGTCTTCCGATAAAAAGACTCATATTCTTCTCTACCGGCATAAAGTCGCAGACGAGTCTTTGGGAGAGTGAGAAAAGTTAGCGGTCGAATGAGACCCAGAAGACAAACTCGATATGTGGCGGGTATTGTTTCTGACACTGAGGAAAAAATACAAATGGCAAGCAAAATAAAATCATCTGTAGACAAATTTTGAAGATATCTAATTTTTTCTTTAAAAAAAAACAAAACATTTTAGCATTCTTATATACTATTTGCAAGTTAATTATTTTTCCTTTACCTTCCCAGTGGAACATAGAGAACTTCAAACTTCAGCTTTGAAGTTTTGGTAGCAAAGGTGTCATTTTTAGGGGATGGGGTCACTGCCAAATTCACACCCAGCGCCTTCCTTCTTTACCGGCTCTGTTACCGTCTTAGCACGGGGTTTAGGAGTGCGTCGGTGGCTGGGAATTGAACCCCGGACCACGTGAGGCGTGGTTGGCAATGTGTTCTACCGCTGAACTCCCCTGGACGCATGCAAGTTAATTAAGCTACAGCTAAATTATTGTGCTAGTCAGTCACTTAAGTGTTATAAGAAGTGAAAAGAAATCAAAATGTATCAATGCATAGTTCAAACTCCGCGTGTAAGTCGAGGTTGACTAGTGTCATGTGGCAACCGGACGGTGTAAAACAAAATAATAGTGAATAATATTAAAGATAAAAAACGCAATAGGCAATAGGACATATTGCGAAAACTGTTGAAACGTTAACCGCCTATACATAAGCTGAATTACTCAACAAGTAGGATAAGACGACTATAAAACATTGACTGGCATCAATATAGAACTTAGCACACAAGTATGGAAAGTTTAAGTCATCACACTCCATAAAGTACACAAAGAAAGACAAAAGTGACTTAAAAGAATTTTTATTTTATTTAAATGCAGAAAAACTTGGTACAATATGGCACCAAGAAAGATGCGCCACACAATAATAATAAAACAACATAGATTAAAAGTAAAAATATAGGTAGAAAACGAATAAAGAACTTCATCAGGAAGGAAAACAGTCATGTTTAACAAGTTCAAACAGTATTCGTTAACTATCATCAGGAAGGGAAGAAAGAAAGAAATTGCAACACGTTCGCCATTGATTACGATTCTTGGCCATATCCGATAACGTTTCGAGCTATCTCGCAGACCCCAACAAGGGAGTCGTGGCGCATCAGCCGATGCTAATCTAGCACAAATATCCTTCATCCCACGACGCCACGTCATGAACTGACCACCCCTCCGCCTTTTCCATGGCAACAAGCAGAAAGAATCGTGACATGAAAAACAATGGGGAGGATTAATGGATAAGGCAAATCACAAAGACTGAATGCATCTGTGCCCCCTGAGAATGACTTTGAGCCACATCACCAACAGTCAGCCTTTATCGACTGATGTCAGGTAGCAGTCTCACCACCCATAACTTTTCTAGCCTAACCTTGTGTCAGGCAAAATCACTCCATGAGAAAGGCGGTGGCTCGACATACTTAACACGTGTCCTAGTCATCTCAACTGGTGCACCTACATACAGCCTCGTCGATTGACTTACCCTCTTCACCGAGTACTCTACCTCTAACCTCAATATTACTCACCAGATTGTACCACCTAGTTAGTACAAGAGATAGAACGCAAACATCTGGAGTCAAATAAATCTGGTCTCTTCATGTCTTCCACTTTCAATGGCCATATCACATAGCTATAAAAGAGGACAGAGAGAATTAGTGAGCAGTATACACGCTGGATATCAGGTCTACACCAGAGATGACGTAAGTTGTTAAATGCTACGAGCCTTTTTCTATCCGTGTTGAGATTTCGTCTGAAATCAGAACTTCCTAACAACAATGGGGGTCGAATTAATCTTCCACAGAAAATATGCGCGATTGAATTAACTAGACAAAAGGCGAATAAACAGTGATATACTTATGAAGATTATTTTCTTTACAAGTAGTGACTCTTAGGCTAAACCAGCCTCGCATTCGATAAATCTATGTGTAAGTCAGTTCTTACCTTTCATCCACGCAGTTAAGATGAATGACTGGGAGTTACACAAAAACCTTCACTTCCTATAAGTCGAAATTAACAGATGCGTTTAAACTAATAAGTGCAAATAGTAGAGATAAAATAGAGTTACCAACCTCTCCTTTGTAAGTCTAGAACTGAATTCTCTATAGTGTTAAGTATAGTCATCCCATAATTACGCTATACTCTTATGTCCAATTGTTTAGAAATTTTCTCTTATTATAATCAAATTGAACAGCTCAAGTTTATTATGATAAAATTATGCGTTCAAAAAAATTAATTCAGAACATAGCATGCACAGTGGAGTGCTGGTTTGTACTACTAATGCCGACTGACTGACTGGTTTCAACGTAGAACTTTTCACAGATGTGAGGCAGTTCGAGTCACCATACTTCACTTAGCACACAGAGCAAGAGAAGAAAGTAAAAAAGAAATGCAAAAGAGAGACAGTAAACAGGGATATGAGGCAAAAAGAATAGTAATTTCGAAGAACTATGTGGTTTTAATGGATAATATAAGTTACAAGGAGTGGATGCATCTGCGCCGTCATTGATAACGGGGATTTTAAGCCACATCACTAACTGTTTCCAGCCTTCATTAGTTTTTACAGTCCCGAGGACCCCAACCAGTCAGGAAGTGTACACCTCCCTATGTGACTGGCTGGCTGGCTCAAACTAACTTTTGTGGATTTCATTTACTAGTGAAGCCATGTTTTCGTCTGACCACCACTGGCTCTTTTCCAACCTGATTCATCCTGTGTCAGCTAACATTGCCTACTATCGGGGAAGGCGATGGCTAGGCATACGTTAAACATGTCCTAACCATCTCAATCGATGTAACTTCACAGCCTCGCTTATTGATTTCCCTTCCTTACCTAGCACTCGACCGAAGCCTAACCTCAATATTGCTCACTCTATTATACCACTTCACACACTAGTACTGTTGAATAAAACACTATTCATCAAGGGATGAACTAAAATACTCAGTATCTACTAAATACCACCACAGAACAATAATAATTGGTGTAAAGTTTATCTACTACTAATCGCTGTCAACTTCATTATGAACGCAGCTTAAAGGCTAGACAGATTCTGGAATTTTAGAACATACTCCCCCTCATAATCACTCGATATTTGACGGGTGGCAAAACACTTGAAATAACTAATACAAAACCAAAAACAATTATACATAAGATAATTAAATTTGTATAAACATACTTCAGCCAGATGCTTCCACTGCTTAAAGACATAAACTTACCCGAATATTTTTTTGGCTTTGCAACCACTATGGCTGGCCACCAAGGGAAATTGTCGGGTGGAAGTGAACGCGCCCAAACTAATTCCCCAACCTGCCATACATTTGTATTCTCAGCAGGTTGAACAGGCGTGCGCCTAGACAACTTTGCCAACATGGTCTTCTTTCGAGCCACTGAACTTAGACTACTCTGTTGAACATGACCCTTATTGAAACTGAAGACAGAGAGAGAGAGAGATTTAAAACAAGCAGAGTATTCATCTTTACAGAAACTGTTAAATTAGTCAGGTTACCTAACCAAGACGATAAAACATATGCCTCCAACAAATGACAGCAGCCAATCCAAATTATCTCAAAAGTTATAAATAACACGAAGCTCTAAGTGTTTATCATTCACGCAACCATATCTGCTGAAATGCAGTCAACATTGTTAATTAACTAACATTAGTTTGGACGTAACACTTCATCCAACCATCCTCCTCATTGACAATGGAACTGATCAACTTATGAAATAGTGCCTCAAAATAAAACATAGTTGTCCTGAGCGCTGAGCCATAATAAATGCTCCGTTACTCCATACTAAAGATTTCAAGTCTTATATAATCCTTCTAATTTGAAACATACTTCGTACACTATAGGTGACAAGAGATGAGATACTACCTGACTGGCAAGGCCGATACCGGTGACTGTCATAAGGAATCACCCATCAAGTTTTTGACTTGTAGTGTGATCCATAAGACAGCACAGAAAAGTCGGCAGCTATGTTTCCATAGTTGCGGATTACCAAGACAGGTTCATCATACGACATTCTTTTCTTTCGGACTCCAGAGTTTAAGTGTTATATGATTCCGTAGCGGAAAATTTTGTCACAATCAAAAAGTGGCGAGACGAATAATGTAAACAATGTAAAACACTTCCTTCTATAATCATGATCTTGTACGACCATTCCATCTATCATATCTGGTCTTCGATTATGTCTCTATCATACGGCCATAAATTTAGACTTTCTTGTTTTATCAACAGAACTGAATTTATGAAAATGGATTCATTCATCAATAAAGTGAAGCATAGCAAGACTGGAACAAATAGTATCTCTTTAGCATTTTATCTAATTTTCAAAACATTCAGTTGATGACAAACGTATATACGTGACGTTGGCATTTTATAGTGTAACTAAATTTAAATTAGAACATTTCACTGTAGTCTTACCTTTTAGTATTAAAATTCTCATTTCGATTGAAAGACGGTTTCACCGACTTCATCACCTCTTCTTCCGATTTTTCATCATCAGAGCTACTGTCATCATTATAATAATGCAGAAACGGTTGGGGTTTGTGCTCAGGTTCGTCACTCGATGAATCCAAAGACATATAATAATCAGATAGTGGTAGACGTTTTTGAGGTGAATAATTTATACTTTCTAATTTCTGTTTAATTTCTTCTTGTCCATAAAATCCACTGATTTCGGCATAAGACGTTGTTGCCTCTGGAGAATGCGTGGAACCTTCTGCCGACTCAGGTTTTAAAAGACTTCCATTATAATCCCAATCCAAGGATGAATCTGAGCTGTGCTCTGAGGATATATCTTCAAAACTAGTATCTGAGAATGGACCTGTTGTGTGATATGGTGAAGAGTCATCATCCATATTTACAATAAATGGTATTTCTAAAACAAAAAACAATTAGGTCAAAAAGTTGAGGACTACTTTGAAGCATTACGACCAGTTGTCAATTGTGCACATTGATCTATTCAAGCTTCTTTTACACAAAATAACATTTAACACGTGAAAAACGAGTCACATTGATAAAAGAGATGAGGAGCACCAGGTTTTAGAAGTTGCACAGTATTTACCGTTTCAGAATGCCATTTTACAACTGTTACTTCAATATACTTCCGATATATTAGGAAATACAATAAAACCAAACAGGTAAGCATCCGAGGTATGTATAGACGAAAAGGACCCCTCTCAGAAAACAGAATGAAAAAGGGGACTAGGAAACAGTACCTGTTATCTTCCAATAAAATAAGTTTTATCTGAAACTTACAAAAATATGTAACACGGGGTAGCGCGTGTTCTTATACCGAACTATGAGTTATACTTGACTGTGCCTGAACTTATAACACCATTCAGTTTTCCAGATCGAAGTAGATGGTGTAGAGTATGAATACGTGGACCATTACTTAAAGTCAAGTACTGAGTTAAACTCAATTAAACTACCTTAAAATGACAACACAAAATATCGTTTATAAAGCTTACAGACATCTATTTGGAATTCCAAAAAGTAGGATACATGTACACTAATGATAAACACTATTCCAATGTCTTATATTGGTACCAAGAAATAAAGTGAATCCACTTTCTGCTAACGTTAACTATCACAATACAAGCTCATTTCAGTTCCACTATTAAAAGAGGTTTTCTTATAACAAATGATGAAGTATACAATCATACAATATAAAAACCTAACCCACACTGGTAAGCAGAAAAAGAAAACAAGAAATGAAAACTATGAAGGAATAAAGGCATAACACGAGACAGACGCTTGTATGTCACGCTTATATCATATCATAAAGTGCTTGTCATCTAATGTAAAGGTAAACAAGCCTTCCGTAGTGACGTATGTTAAATGCACTGTAATACGGGGAATAAGTCAAACACCCTTGAATCAAATCCAGGGGTTTATAAATCTACGCAGACATGGAGGTGAGCCAGACATATAATCACTTTAATTATTGGTCAGCTAATCTAAGAAAGTCTTCTCAGAGATGCAGGTTACACAAAGAAGTGCAAGGTATAATTACAGTCCTTTCGAGCACATCAATCAAACCAGAAATAGACGGTATGCCCGTTAGTGTAATCCCACTTCTGAAACTGATAGAATCTACAAGATTGTCAAATTCGTACACTTGTTACGGAAGGATATTGGGAACACCTTAATTAACAACTAGCAATAATTATGTATGATGCTAACATGGCTTTAGTGTGTGGCGCTTTAACCTCCAATGTTTGAACTAAGTTTCTAATCCCTAAACTGAAGTCAAGAAATTTATGGCTGAAGATATGATGGCTGAATGATGTAGTTACAGATAAGTTGTGAAGCAGCGTTTCTTCGACTGTCTTAAAATATATCCAGTACCTGTAGTTTTAATTCGATTAATACAGATTTAAACCTTACTTCTCACCACATGGCTTAATCTTCTGATGACAAGTTAAGAAGTTTAACGTTCTCCCATTACTGCATTAATTAAGAAAGTAACTCGAGCAAAGTACTATAGTGTACTTGTGTGATAAATCCGGGGTGTTCAATTAACACTAACGATGAGCGGAACATAAGTGTCACTTACTTTAGGATTTTAACCACTTCAGTGCAAAAAGCATAACATAAGTTGTCGGCTAGGAACAAAAATATTTCATGTACAAAATGACATCTCTGCTTTTCGAGATCTCCGAAGGATAATCCTATGTAACTGACATTCAAAATAACATAACTTGCTCACAACTCTTCACATGGGGTATTTGTAGGTAAGTATTACGTTTTGGGTCTGACAAGGAAATCAACTCTACATTAGTTTCTTACGCCATGTCACATATCATATGTACTTCATCGAAGTCCTCAATCAAACAACAAACGAGCAAACCAGAACAATTGAATTTATTGGAGAAGATTTTTAATAGACATCTAAATTACATTAATCGAAATTCGCGGAAATTTCAGGTACGACAAATGCTTTCCCCTGCTTCTGAAATTCAGCTCTGAAAAGAAGCATAATAATTTCACTTTAAACATACCTCAACTGGTGAGTAAACTCATCATCTACTATATCATCGTCCCAGTTGTCTTCCCAAAGTGTAGCTTCTTCACCAGCAGGAACTCCAGAACATGCTGCGAAAATTATGATTAACTGTTCAGATTACCATGTGCTGGAAACTCTTCAAAATCATCGTCCTCTTCCAATATCGCTACATCTACCTTTTCTGCTGGCTTTGAACTTTTTTTCTCAACAGCATTCTCTTTAGATTTCCCTTTGGTATCGTTGACAGTCATTCTGTGACACGCACAAATTAATAATAATAATCACTTTATTCCACAACAATAACAATTTACAGCATGGAATTTTCAGCGTTTCATTTTACATATTGCATTGGTTTAGCTCTTTTTATAATTATATAAATGTATAAAATTTTAAAAATATTAATAGTTAATAGGAAAAATAAAAACCCAAACAAAATACACTATTTCTAGGTCATAGTGAATAATAAATAATATAACAAATCACACATGCAATAATATGCATCATTACATTTTTTAGTTTAGTTAATGATTTAGAAGTTGTAAAAGTTCTTTTCTGATATTTGTCTCTTCACACAATACTCGTACCAAATATGGTACGGTCGAATTTTTATATTTTGAAAGAGGAGCACAAGGTCGCATCCAATATTCAATATCGTTTCTACAAGGTCGTGTAAAATCGAATTAATTTCTGTACCCTCGCCTCTAGGTTGTAAAGGTTGACCGTTTCTGTTAGACTTCTGATTAGTTGGTCCTTACACTCCAATATTCCATACAGCTTTTTACGAGCTAGTGTTAACCAATTTGATTTCTTTGTTCTCGCTTCTTGATTGTAAGGTACAAGTTCTTGGTCTTCGCTAAACTTCTGTGTGGTTTGTCCAGCAACTCTAATGTCACAGCCTCGTTTAACTCCAAAAACAGTGGTGCTGGCATTAATTATTTGCTGTTTGCAGTATGCAGTGTGTTAGGACCGTGTTGCTCCTGTGAATGGAGTCGATCTTTACACCAGTTAGTCATCCACTGTCGTCAACAAAAGAAAAGAGTAAAAGATAATAGATATTGTAGTGGTAAATAATTCTCCAAAATTATTGACCACAGCAATCATCACTCAACATTGGATGCTGACCATCACTGTTTAAGTCGACTTGTTTAGCTGAAGGCTTCCGGTCAAGCATCCCCGCCATTTGGTACTCCGTCGTGTCACGTGCGTGCACGATCACTAGCTAGTTAGACACTAGATACGGTATACTATTTGGTACCGAAATATATCACGTACTTCGGACGACTAAATCTGGTCTTTTGCTTTGTATTTGGTACACGAGAAACGAATACTTTAGACGTTGTTGGTATAAAATCTTGCGTTGGTATACTCCGTACAATTCGCGAACGTCGATACCGTCAACCTCCATTTTATGCAAACCAAAAGAAAGAAAAATAAAGGAGACATAAAAACAGACACACACATTGTTTGTAATCTATTAAAATGCAATTATGATTCATTTAAAAAGATGAGTTTAGATGTCCACCCATTAATAGTGTATGAATTTCGAAAGAACAGGTCCTTTGGACACAGTCCCTGTATCGCTGTTTAATTTTCCAGTCTCCACCTTAAGCTGTCAACGGACGGCGAAGTAGCTACGTCTACCAGCAAAAAGTTCCAAGGACGGCAAACTTGCAGTGAAATGACATGGGAGGGCACTCATGTCTTTTTCCTCTGGTGAGCTGTTCTTCAGGGATTCCTCCTGAGAATACCATACGTACCTAACCGCATAACACATTTGTTTTGGTGATTTTGGTCATTCGTAACCCCATAGGCGGTAATCAAGCCCCTCCCTAAGCCTAGCTAAGTGTGGAGAGGCATAATTTATTTAGCCTTTCATCATGTGGTTTCTTTCAGAGACCCATCATCCCTTTTGTCTCCTGTCTTCGGACTCGTCATAATGGTCCTCGTCTCTTTGAAGCAGTGTAGGTGCAGTTATATTGTCTGACATGTTCTGTACAACTTCAGAGCTCAGAAGTGAATGTACCTAACTTTCTATCAGTAAAGTGTATTGCCGCATATGCCCCCACTACATTCCCTATGTAATTCACGCTTCTGTCTATTTTTTTGCGATGTTGTGCAGGACAAGTTTTCGTTCTACAAGGTTCAACTTGCACTCTGCAGCCCACAGCTGCATGACTTCACTTCTTTGCACTTTTCCAGGCTGAAAGTCACATCATTAGTCGCCTCGCAGTCTTCCAGAAGTTGAAGTATGGTGAGAGCTGTCTGCAAGACAAAATTGTAGACAACAATTTTTCGTCAATGTTTACGTCCCAAATCGGGTTCATGAGAAAAAACAATAACAAAGCGTAACCTTCAGGGGCTCAGCAACCAATCACGGGAGACTTAACGTGTGCGAATACGATTCGCAGATATATGGCCTAAATTCCTAAGAAACGGTCACAAGCAGTACAGAATAACATTCAGCAAGGAAACAACCAATCGGAAGACGTTACTTCTCTGCTAAAGCAAAGAATTATAATGTACATAAAAATCTACAAATATCTGTTGATCTTCTCAATAAACTATCTTTTACATGGCCCTTGTCTACTGTCGTTACAGTAGGTGTGCCTGCATCCTATGAGTCTGCCGAGCACTTCATCGCTGTCCTAATCTTTACGTCATCCGCGTTAAGAAGAGTCAGGCAGCTTAGGTGGCATGACAAATCATTGATAAAATTCAAAATTATCACTGGCCCTACGATAGAGCTTTGCAATACTCCAGATGACGAGCTGTGCAGGGATAATCAGACTCAACTGACCTCAGTACAGAATTCCCTTTCAACTAAGTAGTACCCAACCATGACAGAAGCGGGCAACCTGTATCTGACTGACT